ATGCGCGCAATGACAACTCCTCTGTGTCGCGCCAAACATAATCAATTTATGAAATCATTCGGTCTATGTTAACATCTTCCTCCTTAAATGCCAATTCACGCCATATCTCCATGGCACTGAAGGCATACGATGTCACACTAAACCTTTGAAAAAACTAGAAAATTGACACATTTTCTCTGTTTTTACCTTACGCAAATTTTCGCATTCGTGGTTAAACTAATTCGATGCTGACTTTCAGCCTTTGGCTCGGCGGTTTTCCTTCTGAAAATTTTCCACCGCATCACGTAACTTACCCAATTTAAACTAGTTGAAATCTGCATCTGCAATACTGAGTAGTCATAATTAATCCGCCTGTGCAAAAGTTACTCGAACTGACCGTTCCCCCTTTTCTCGTGGTTCCTTTAATCGTACACGACGGGGTCGCGATCCCGGCGGTTTTCCTGCACGTCTGAGGCTACTAAACAAACGAACGTTAGGCTGTGTCCTGCCGTCACGCCTCATTCTCCACTTCGTCCTATTCCCCGTAGGAATTTGAACGTGACGCCAGAAGCTGGGGGGGAGCCTGTGCCATTTTCTCTTTGTATTCACCCCTGCGCGGTATTTAGCCACTCTGCCCTTTCGACTTTGACCCTTCGGGCAAGGCCGCTTTTCCGAAGTCGTCGAGCTGAACCGCGCGCTTCGTTGGGGTGACGCACCTCCCTTTCTCCCTCCACACCTGACTCGCCGCTTGTGCCTCCATGAACAGCCCCATTGACGTTTCCTTAAACGGATTAGTGGCCTAACCTTTCGTCTTTCGCGGGGCGGTGTGGGACTAGTCCTATGCTTAGGCAGTGCCGAACGCTTTCGCTTCTTCCTTTTTCTGCGATGTTTGCAAACCTGCTCGGTGTTATCGCTGCACTGCTGAAGCGTGGCGTTCTTGCCCTTAACAGCCACTGCGCTAACCATGCCTAAATTTGACAATGTCGAAAGGTCCCCCTGAGGCACGAAGAAGGTTTCCAGCCTCTTACTGGGCCCATTAGGGCTGCTGGCACCCTCTTCATCCGCGCAATGAGCGTCTTTCGACATCGTCCCCACCTCCAGACCGGCCACGGCCTCGTTCTCTACATCATTTACATGGATGCATTCGAGAATATGCGGGCCCTTCTCTGGCGCGATCTCTGTTTCTAGCGCTTCATGACGCGCCACAACTTCCAGCGCTTTGTGACGCGCCTCACTTTCAGACTCCGGTCTGATTCTTTCTTTATTTTGGCTAACAGAAGTTCCGAATCTTCTGATTAGCTCTGATTTAACAACTTCGTAGTTGTTCGCGTGCTGCTCACTGAGTCGCGCAACAACATCCGCTGCCTCGCAGGGCAGAACCGTGCGTAGCTTCTGAGACCAGGTGTCTCGCTCACACTTCAGTTGACTACACTTTCGTTCAAAGAGTCTAAGATACAGGCCCATATCCCATGATACCTCATATGGCTGCATGTACCTAGACATCTCGAACTCTGCCTCATTTTCGAGTACTCCTTGCTGGCGTCCCAACCTCATACTCAACTCATAGTCTTGTTTGAAAAACTTTAGCTTGAGGCTTTCTCTTTCGTCTTCACTCTTTCCTTCCATCTGAGCTGCTCTTAGTTTTCTTTCGATGATGAGGTCCCATTCTTCACTTAGTTCCTCATCATCAGCCCCCAAATCATTAATCGCTTGAATGATTATGGGTTTTCGTGCCAAACCCTTTGTATCGATCCCCAATTCCTCACACAACAGCAACAAGTCTGACATCTGCAGCTCCCGTAAGTCCATGATCGTACTGAGTGCTCGCTACTTCCAAAACAACTTTCCGAAACGGCGAAACTGAGTCTTTCGGCAAAGTTAACTACCAGTTCTAAAATTTACCCTCTTTTAGAACCTGGTTCCCTCAAAGGAAAAGCCAAGCACTCACCCATACGTGATCCATGTCTCGAGCCAGCTGCATCTCCTGGGCCGACTGTTGTTGTCACTTGTAGCTTCGAATCCGACCGCTGCCAACCAGTTGTCGTGATCCCACCGCTGATCACCAGTTGTTGCGATCCCGGGGAGCTGTGGTAGCGTGGTGTAGCTTCGGGTTGAGGAAACGACCGCTTACAAGATGGGGATACGAAAAACAAACAAGGTTTATGGCACTATTTACAAATATTTACAGCATGAGGTTAAGAGTTCACAAACCACGAGCGTGGTGGTTAAACCTTTAGTTGGTTCAGAGCCTTCACAAACTACGAACGTGGTGGTTGAACCTTTACTTGCTCCAGAGCGACGTCCTGCACTCTGCGGCGCCGTTATAAGCCCTGTCGGGCTCCTCCTTCTTCAGTGGAACACCAATCACATACACACACAACAGGTGAGGGGTACGAGCATGCACGGCGCACGTGAACAGCCAATTTCGAGTCAAGATCACTGCACTTAAAGGTGGCGCCAGAGGGGCTCTTGCTCGTCGTGTGTGTCACTGGTCGAGGGGTCCCAAGCTTCGGACAGCAGACATCAAACGGTCCGCCAATCTGTCTGCTCAATTAGCAGGGCACTTTGTGGCGGCGGTCGCCGTTTCTACAAAGGAAGACGCTGTCTTTGTTGTCCCCTCTGGAACGGCTTACCGCTTCGTGGCGACGTGACGTCTCATCCGCCGGCTAGCAGGGACAATGCCTGGCGGGCATAGGCATTCGGCGAGCCGGCTACTTGTTTGAAGATTAAAAGAGCGCCGCTCCCCCGTCATTTCTGGACGCTGGTTCCGAGAAAACTGGGTTCTAGGCGTGGGAACGCTGCCCGGCCACGCTTCTCAGCGACAGCATGGCGCCTACTGATGCCGGTCATAACAGCCTCTCTACTCAGCGCAGCATCATGCGCAGCACTCAAACTCGATTCGCCTTTGAATCTGCTGTAATGTTCACATGTGCTAGCCTTCTCTAAAGCTCTGGGCTGCACCTCGCACTTCTCGTGAGCTACACTTGCGAATGGCTGAAACTTCCGCCTCATTGCCTCTGCAATCTTAAGCTGAAGCCGCAAGCGCTCAAGCTCCCTTTCTTGGCTTTCCGCTTCTTCTTTGCGCCTGACGGTTTCTCTTTCAAACATAAGGCGCTCTCGCTCTTCGACTTCTTGTGCCCTTTTCATCCTCTCCTGAATTAGCTCCCAGCACTCGGTGAGCTCCTCCGCATCCGCGCTAGAATCCTTAACCGCCTGTATTAAAAGTGGCTTTCTATGTATAGTCGCCACCTCAATCCCCAGCTCCTGGCACAACAGAACTAAATCCGGTTTCCTCCAATTGTTCAAGTCCATGGTCAACCCGTGCAGACTTCCGTTGCTCAAACTGCCGTGAAGGTACCTCTAATAAACCCAATCCTTCACAAAGCAGCAACTAATCTACCCTTTTGGATAAACATCACCATCTATCCAAAACACCTGGCAGAATCTCTAGGGAAAGTGAGCACTCACCAGCATTGGTACCAGGAAAGAACACGAACCGATCCCGCCGCTGCCAACCAGTTGATATGCCCGGGGAGGGGTTGAGGCTGCCACCCAGGATCCGGCGAAGGACGACTCTTGCGACGCGTCTCACGAACAAGTAGAAGATGCGTTTAATTTACATATTTGCAAGAGAAGTACATTGCAATGAGAGCGTACTGACGCGCCTTTCCATCACAAGGGCCCAGAGCGCACTCGAGACGAGCGGGCCAGCGACGTCCAGAGAGAGAGCCCCGACCGCACACGCGACGCGCTTTTTTACCCCTCGTCCGTGCACGTGCATCTTCTCAGACGCAGGCTGTGTGTCCCAGCGACGCTGATGTGCGTTTCCTGCGGCGCACACAGACGCCTCCTGCGTTCCTGCAGGACGCGGACAGCGTTTGACCGTTACGCCGATGAGCGTCTCTTGCAAGCCACCTCCTTGCTGTGCCGGTCATAACAAGCCGCGATGGTGATGCGGTCTCCGTCGACAGCCTTGAGCGTGCATTCAACAACGTGGCCTGCGTCGCGCACCGCCTCGCCCTCGATGAGACACTGCGACGTTTCACAAGCTTTATCTGCATGCTTGTAGATAGTGGAGAAAGGCACGGTTACTGAAACATGAGAAAAAAAAAGTCAAAACAAGTTAGTATCGCATGACGGAAAGTGTGATAATGAGCGAGAACACATACACATATATATAGTTTCACTTACCTACAATGCGATCGGTGGCTTCGGCGGACTCGTCAACCATCCGGGGGATTCACTGCCCTGTCGATTGGGCTGCAACTAAAACAAGATAGTAATCGCACTCGAAAACAGTCATTGTAGCAAGGGCTGTTTGTTCGACGAAGTTTTCGTCTGGAGCAGACGATCTTGGTATAAGAGATGCGGCGGCTGCAGCGAGGTTGAAAGTGAAATCCTTAAATAGAGGTCACATGCGAGAGGGCGCCTCTCAGAGATCTCGAGGCCAATAAAGGTTTGTCCTCTTGACGGTATCTTTATGCCAACCAGTAGACTATGGTTGGTATACATGGTTTTGTGTATATTTGTACGTTACGTTGATGTCTCTTCAGGAAAACAAGGTTAGAGTAAATGAAATGCGATATCGAAATCTGGACACAGTCGTGACACTGCACTTTCTTTTTTCAACATAAATTCAACCACCTGGGTAAATGAAAAATTAAATTGTGTTTCAAGAATGAAGTACATGCACTCACAATCTCACTGAATGAAACCGGATGTTCTTTAAAAAAAAAAGAGAAAAAAAAGAAGGGTGCCTAAAGTTACAATGCTGGCTACTGAATAGAACTGCACTCATATGTGGCGGATTCTGAATTCCTTTAATGAAGCCGTTTGACGGTAATTCTAACAGGTGTTGCAGGGCCCCTAAGTAGTGAGAGCTCTGTGTGGTGTTCTAGAAGGATATGTCAATTGGCCCTTGCACCATTAAGCACCACACATCATCATAAAAGGATACGTCAAAATTGATCTATAGACTTTTCTCCTCAAGTCCTTTCAATGCTTGTACTGTTCTGTTGTAGGTGAAATGCCAAAATGCTGGCTGCGACGCCCGTGTACCTGCTGATTGGTTCGCGTATCATACGAGTTCATGCGAGTTTCTCGAAGTATGCTGCCCGCACAAAGCCTGTCAGCATAGATGCCAGCGTCGTCTGCTAGAATCTCACGTGAAGCAGTGCCCTCAACTTAAGGTCATCTGTGAGAGGGAGTGCGGATTGGTTGTCACACAAGGCTGCCTCCAAAGCCACAACTGTGTGGATGAACTCAAGCGCAAGCTAGACGGTGAGTGTGCGTTGTGCTATGGTTTTGGTGGCTATGTCACCGTGGCATGTACTGTATTGTTTCAACAAGCAGTTGAGGTACAACATCACCTGTTGAGCGCAGATGAAGCATGACCTTTCTTGAAGGGACACTGAAAGGCAAATAATAATAAGTTGATGTTGATTGCTCAAACAGCGATACAGAAACGTGTGGTGCTACTTTTGTGCCAAGGGAGGGCTTATATTGAAACAAAATCACATTTTGGTGGTCCGCATCGCGTTAGCACACTTCAAATCACCCGCCTCAAAGCAGAAAGTTTCACGTCGCTGTTGCCATGCACAACGTTGCCTGGCTTAACTGTTCGCCTGCCGACACTAGTAGCAGCAGAGTGAAAGTAGCGGGAGCCACAGCAGCAACAATGGCCATTGAACAATTTTCTGCTATGGCCTCCGAAGGCAGCTTGGTTCAACTGGGCCCCGCTTCATTTTTTCATGAATCAAACAGAAGCAAACAAGCAGCATTTTATTGCGTCTCTTGATGCACGGAAGGTTCTTTAGTTGGTAAAGAACCCCAGCTGGTCGAAATTTCCGGAGCCCTCCACTACGGCGTCTCTCATAATCATATGGTGGTTTTGGGACGTTAAACCCCACAAATCAATCAAGGTTCTTTAGTTGGTGCAGCGAGTTCGATTACTAGTGATTAATTGTAGGTGGTAACTGTGACGTCATCGGGATCATTTTGCGAAAGTCCTTCTCATGGTGCATGTGTTCTCGTGCATTTGCCCTTATTTCTTGGTGAGTAGGGCACTGTTGTCGATAATTTTGTCGTTTTAGATGTTGTCATACATTGGGCTTTCACTCTGACATAAATAGTAATTTGTCTTTTGCTTCCTTTTAAAGGAGTACTGACACCATTCGAAAACATTGCAAAATGGACATTTCTCGTTTCCTTTGTATGCAGCATCAGTGCGTCAAACAATACATATAGAATATTTTGTTTTGATATTAATGTTTTCGACGCTGAGCATCTGCAAGCCAGCTTTAATGCAAAGTACATTATCTCGATGAGTCAAGACAGATCTCGAGTTAGCGAGCCCTGCATCCTACATGACGCCTCAATTGTAGAAACCACTGTTGCCGTCACGATATGACAATTCACTCGTCGTTAGTCAGCACTATGAGCAGATGACACATTTACTGCTACTTTGTTGCTAGTTTCTGTCTTCATGTCACGTCACATTGCGATGACACGTCACTGAAAAGCTGCCATCTCGATATCAAAACCAAAAGTGTTTCATTAAGGGTGGTAATAAAAATATATTAGATTCATTCCCAGGCTACACAATACGCGTTTTAGGTTTCTTGGCACCAGTACTTTATTTAGAGCAACAATTCGAAAATTTTTAAAGTTCGTGTTAGTACTTCCTTAAAAAGGTACCGACTCAGAAATTTTGAGTATTTAGTGTCAAATGAAAGGCAAAGACCTCAAGGGCATTAAAATTGTACCGCTAAGCATATGTTCCTTGTGAACCTCGACGTCTTGACGTAGTACGAGCGTCTTGTCACTTTCTTGCAACTGATATCGTGGAGCTTCCATGGCTGTTCCACTGCATAGCTCAGTTGGTGACACGCAAGCGTGCATTTTGAATGTTTTGACACCTGACGTCGTCTCGACTAGTCATCGCGGCCGGAATCCTGGCACCGAATTTGTATTTAAAAGTGGCCCGTATATTATCGATTGGGAAGGCTTTCTTTGAAACTTTGAATGGCCACTGAAGATTTTACAAGCTCCTCTCCCCTGCTCCCACCACCCCATTGCTACCTTCTTCTCTGCGCCGGCCTTTGCGTGTCTAAATTGCATAACTTGGGCCATCTGGCGAAGGAGTGTTTGATACCCTTGATATAAGGAGTGGAGCAACAACACGACGAGTCATTTAAAAAGCTTCATAACTTCTTATCAGGGATAATGTTCGAAAATCCCATGGGCGTTTGCACTGCAGGTATTCAATACATCCACCGGCTTAGTAGCGTCAAAGAAGGCGAATCGAGAAACAGGCGAATAATTCATAAGTTGCTTGATGATAGTGACAAAGTTGAAATACCCCAGTCTTGTCTGAACTGAAAGGGGGTGTTCATTCAATAAGCAAGGAGTACTTGTTTGGTGTGCGTAAAATTGGGAGAAAATGGTAGAATGGTCACGAAAGAAAACTGTCATCTTTTTACTTGGAATGAAGACAGCGAGACAGTCTTCTCAACGACTATGCCTATAACCCTTCTAAAAGTCTTGTTCTGAACTGGAAGGGGGTGTTCATTCAATAAGCGAGGAGTACTTGTTTGGTGTGCGTAAAATTGTAATGAAATGATAGAATGGTCACGAAAGAAAACTGTCGTCTTTTTACTTGGAATGAAGACAGTCTTCTCAATGACTATGCCTATAACCCTTCTAAAAGTCTTGTTCTGAACTGAAAGGGGGTGTTCATTCAATAAGCGAGGAGTACTTGTTTGGTGTGCGTAAAATTGGAAGGAAATGGTAAAATGGTCACGAAAGAAAACTATGTCATCTTTTTACTTGGAATGATGACAGCAAGACAGTCTTCTCAACGACTATGCCCATAACCTTTCTAAATGCTAAAGTGCAGTCTTGCGTATAAGGCAGATCGATCTGAAGCTGGTTTATTAGCTGTAAAACCTCACAGTGTGATTGAAACGTAACTACATTCAAATATATGTGGCCATGAAATCGTGCCATCAAGTCGTACAGTTGTCCACAAAGATGTGGACACCAGAGGTGGAGGAGTAGCAACTGTTTTGCTGCAGGGAATTGCTTACAGGGTCATGCCAGAGGTGAATGGTGTCACTACAATTCGGTGAAAACGTCTCCTGAACAGTGACTTTGTGCCATTTACAGGACCCCGAATGCCAATGCGACTTACTTGAAACCCTTCCTAGATTACATGAATCTGCACGTGCTTGGTGGCAGGATTACCCTGGCGGGTAGCTTACCAGGTGTTAATTGTCACCATTAAGCCCAAGCTCTCTGGCGAACAGTATAGTAATTGACCTTTGTTTGCTTTCAGTCTAAATCAGCTTTTTAAAAATACACGAATGCAAGGAGAGTCCCATTCTGTGTTAGGCCTTGTATTGGTTAGCGATTATTTATGCACTGACAGCGCAACTGTTGAGACAGTTGATGGCATATCGGATCATAGATTAGTTCTGTGTACTTTGCCTTTAGCAGCTGCAATATATAGGACAATCTGTCTCTGTAAAATATTTGCTCCCCTTTAATGAAGCTAATGATGCGGCAATAATGACCTATTTGTCTAACGAGTATTCCCAGCTCTCATAGCTTTGTACAGATAACGCAAGCATAGATGAAATGAGGTCACAATTTAAACACCATATTGCCACCTGCATGTAATGGGTTGGGAGCAACAGCAGCTCTCGCCCTGAAAAAAAAAAAAAAAAAGTTCCGTCGTAGGCTTCTGGAGACCTACACAAGTGCCGATCGTCAAGAACGAGCGGATCGAGCTATTGAGGCCCGGGTCCAGTTGCGAAATGAAACGGTTGCCACTTACGCAGAAGACATGACACGCCTCTTCTGACGAGCTAACCCACGAATGGTAAAGGATAAGAAGTTGCGCCATCTGATGCGTGGTGTTGAAGAGGAGCTCTTTGCCAGCCTCGTGCAGAGCCCTCCCAAGACCGCCACGGAGTTCTTGACAGAGGCTGTGACCATGGAAAAGATGCTGCAGCAACATTCCAGCATGTGTGACAGGTAAATAAATGGCATGTGCACTGCGGACATTCTCGCCACAACTGGAAGCAACGACAGCCTACGAGAACGTATTCATTCTGTGGTGCGCGAAGAGCTGCAGAAGGTCGGCGTGACGCCTCATCCTACGTCTGGCTCACTTGCAGCGGTTATCTGAGAGGAGCTGCACCAGGGACTACGGCACCCCTCACCTCCTGAAAGCTCTGCCTCAGCCCCCACTGAATACCACTGTGAGACGACCACCTATGCGGAAGCCTTAAAGTGGCCTGTGGCCTCTCCACCATTGTTCGTTCGCGCTCCTCCCACCGTGTCGATCCAGTCGGCGCAGCCAGCAGAGTACTACGACGATAGGTATGTGTCGCCAACATTTGTCCGTGCCGCCCCAGTCGGCCGTTATTCGGAGCAGCCCATTCATTATATTGATGATAGGCGCACCTCCCCTCGGAAGTCAGATATTTGACGTACACCTGACTGCCGGCCTCTGTGCTTTCACTGCGGTGAAGCAGATCACTTGTACCGTCGGTTCCCATACCGCTGCCTTGGGCTTCGCGGCTTCTCTGCGTGCTCGCCGCCACCCCAGTACGGCCAACGACCCCATGACATCGAAAACTACCTCGCCCGGCGCCTTGCACCACCGTCCGCTGGGCGCCAGCTGCGTTCACCGTCGCGGAGGCGATTTTCATCGCTGTCCCAGCGGTATTCTACCCCACGGTCTCCAAGTCCCCGCCGGGAAAGCTAACTGGGGCGACTTCTGGGGGCGGGGTCACTGAACATCGAAGTGCCGAAGACCTCCGACCGACTCAGAGACGCAACGATACTGCAGAATACGACCGGCTTTCACTTGATGTACCAGTGACGATTGGTGGGTTATGCAGTTGACATGTTAGTGGACACCGGCGCCGACTACTCAATATTGAGTGGGAAACTGGCCTTCCAGCTTAAAAAATAATCATGCCGTGGCACAATTCGCAGATTCGGATGGCTGGCAGTCGTGTTATTACTCCGCTGGGCGCCTGCGCTACTAGAGTTCAGATCGAAGACGTTCGTCGCTAGCTGCGTTGTCCTATGCGAGGGCTCCTGTGACGTTATTCTTGAAGTTGACTTTCTTCTAGAGTATGGCGCTATTCTGATCTGCAAGAGCGTCATGTCGTGTTTTCAGCCGACCGAGCAATTGATGTACAGGATGACGAATGGCGTCTCGACGTACTTCGTTTCTGCAGACAGCGTCACTCTTCCTCCTCGAGCAAGCGTCATGGTCGACGTCACATGCTGCAATATGGGCGATGGCATAGCTGTGGCTGAAACGAACTTAGAGCACCTTATGAAACAAGACATTTGTGTAGCCAGAAGTTTCATACAGCTTCATGGTGGCCGATCGCAGTTGCTTGTTACCAACTTTAGCAACAAGCACCGACACCTCTTCCGCGGCACTTCGATCGCTCTTGCCAAAGAAATAGAAAAAATTCGCCGCTGTTTTGCGTTGGAGGCCATCGACGCCACAGACACGGCATTTGGTAATATCAACATCAATCCTGTGCTGTAGACCAGTAACCAGACTGCACTGCGCACTCTCTTGTTTTAATTACGGTCCTGTCTCGCAAGTTTTTCTAAGGTGTGCCAGACATCCGTCACACAGCACAGAATAATCACGTACAGCGACACATGCCCGATCAACCAGCATCCTTACTGCGTGTCGATAAAAGAAAGCAAAGCGATACATACCCATGTCCGGGAGATGCTTGAAGATGGTCTCATCAAACCATTCAACAGCCCATGGTCGTCTCCGGCTGTCCTGGTCAAAAAGAAAGACTGGACACTACGCTTTTGCGTCGACTACCGGAAGCTTAACAATGTGACCAAAAAGGACATGTGCTTGCTGCCACGTATCGACGACTCGTTGGATAGACTTCGCCATGCCCAATATTTCTCTTCTCTGGATCTGAAAAGTGGGTATTGGCAAATTGAGGTAGATGAGCGAGACCACGAGAAAACAGCCTTTGTGATTCCTGACGACCTCTACCAATTTCGAGTGCTTCCTTTTAGCTTGTGTTCAGTGCTGGCAATCTTCCAGCGAATGATGGACACTGTCCTCACAGGGCTGAAGTGGCAGACTTTTATTGTCTATCTTGACGATGTGGTGGTCTTTTCTGCCACATTCGAGCAGCATCTTCACCGCTTGCACAGTGTACTGGAGGCTATCCGATCGGCGAACCTCACACTAAAGCCACAGGAGTGCAACTTTTGTGATGAGGAACTCAAATTTCTTGGACGTGTAGTTAGCGCCGAAGGAGTCCGCCCCGATCCAGACAAACTTGCCGCTGTTGCGGAATTTCCAGCTCCTGTCGATAAGAAGGCCCTCCGGCGCTTTCTTGGTTTGTGTGCCTACTATCGCAGGTTCATTGACGGCTTTTCGCGGATAGCGGAACCCATACTCGCCTCACAAGGGACGACACACCATTTGTGTGGGAAAACGAGCAACAAGCAGTGTTTGCTGAACTGCGACAGCGCATGCGATCAACGCCCATTTTCGCCTCATGCGACGATGATGGAGGTGCATACTGACGCCAGCAACGTTGGTCTCAGTGCAGTGCTGGTTTAGTGACAAGAGGACATCGAAAGGGTGATAGCCTTCACCAGCCGCTCTCTATCCCGTGCCGAGGCGAATTATTCCACTACGGAGAAGAGGACGACAAAGGCTTTCTGGTTGCCATTAGCTCGTCGGACCTGACCAAACGACAGCGCGACGATGAAGAAATTCGACCAATCATTGATCACTTGGAGGGCCACGACGCAACCATACCACGTTATCTCTCCCGCTCGTCGACGTCGTATTGCCTGCGAGACGGCGTGCTATACTAGAAGAACGCCCGTTCAAACGACCGTGCCTACCTCCTGATGGTTCCTCAGGACATGCGAGACGGCGTCCTTTTCGCTTGCCATGACGAACCCACGTCTGGCCACCTAGGCTACTCGCATGCACTTGCCAGAGTGAGCGAGAAGTACTATTGGCCTGGACTTTCGACATCCGTCAAACACTACGTCAAAAGCTGTCGAGAATGCCAGCACCGAAAGCAACCATCTGTTAAGCCAGCTGGCTTACTTCAGCCAATTGAAGCGCCCTGTACGTCGTTTGAACAAGTCGGCATGGACATTCTCGGCCCATTCCCCCTGTCTTCTGACGGCAACGAATGGGTGATCGTAGCGACTGATTATTTAACACGCTACGCGGAGACACAGGTGATCCCACGAGCCACGGCCTCTGAGGTAGCGCAATTTTTCATGCGCCACATAGTGTTGCGTCATGGTGCACCTTCTAGAGTCATAATAGACAGAGGCACAGCAATCACGGCACAGCTTATGGAAGAATTTTTTGAACTAAGCAACACCAGGCACCAAGACAACCGCGTACCATCCGCAAACAAACGGGCTTACCGAGCGGCTGAATAATATGCTCACAGACGTGACTGCAATACAAGACATGGGACCGGATCTTGCCTTACGTGGCCTTCGCGTAAAACACCGCCGTGGAAGAGACCACGCGATTCACGCCATTTCGGCTTCTCTATGGTCGTGAAGTGCAGACCATGCTCGACTGCATGCTACCACGTCAAGACAATGTTGAGCTGGCAACTGATGCCAAGGAATTCGTAGAGTGTGCCGAGGAAGCTCGACAGCTCGGACGACTGCACATCTGCCAGCAGCAAGCAGACGCACGACGATATAATACCCACCACAGGGACGTGGTCTACAACCGCGGCGACCAAGTTTGGGTGTGGATGCCCGTTCGCCGCCGAGGCCTCAGTAAAAAGCTACTTATCAAGTATTTTGGCCCATACAAAGTGCTATGCCGCGTCAGTGACGTTAACTACGGAGTGGTCCCGGACTCAACAACATTGCAGCACGGATCAGCACACGACCGAGCACGGACGTCGTTCATTGTGCGCAGGAACGTTCATTGCGCGTTCATAACTTTCTTTTTTTGTCATTTACCAATCTTTGTCTTCTTCACTAATTTTCGTGAACTTTCTTGCTCGTTGATTGACATTTTTCTTGTTGTCACGATCTTTATTTTCTACTTTCCGTTTATCTGGGATTTCTATTTCCTTTTTTTTTTTTTTCCACGTGCCTGTGCTATAACATTTGGGCAATGCTATGTCTTTTCTTTTCCTCTCTTTTATCTTTATTTTTTTTTTGTAAGAGGGGATAATGCCACCTGCATGTAGTCTTTTCTTTTCCTCTCTTTTATCTTTCTTTTTTTTTTTTTTTGTAAGGGGATAATGCCACCTGCATGTAATGGGTTGGGAGCAAGAGCGGCTCTCGCCCTGAAAAAGAAAAAAAGATTGCGAGCGTCTTCTTCGTTTGAGATCCAGCCGCGACGGGCGCGCTTTTCTGCTGGCTACATCTTGGCTAATTAAAAGCCCCTTGCACTTCTGAAGTCTCGTGACAATATCATGCATTATATCAGTTTCAACATCAAGATACAGCGTAACTAACTTTATTGCCAAAAGAAAACAGGCTTGAAGGAAGCACAACCCATGGATTACCCACGACATAATTCAGCTTAAGTGCAAAATCAGAAGCGTAAGGAAGAGGAAAGGAAACCATAAAAAGTAGCTCACAAATAGCAACGCTGTCATCGCCCTTGAAAGGAACGTGAAAGGAGAGGATACCGAGCTTTTGTAGACACCCTACAAAAGTATCAAAAGCGCACCAGATAAATTCTGGCGGGGTATAGGTGCAAAACCAGCAACACTATCTGAGTTTCCACCTGAAGAGGGCTAAATAAAGGTGAACAATTGCAATTCATATTTTCACTCAGTTTTTAGCGCTGATAACAGCCTAAAGATTACAACTGGTTCTTGACACGTTGGCCAAGGCAGGTGACTTCCATCGTTGAATATTGCAGCACCCTGCATTTTTTCACTGCTCTTAAATCTTGATGAAAAGAAAAGTAATGCTCCAGACGAGATACCGAACACCTATTTGAAACCTTGTGCTGAACCCGTTAGCATGCATCGTCATCTCATATTTACAAAGTCTATTAGTGATTGCAGCCTTCTGGCGACTGGAAAATCGCAAAAGTTGTACCAATACACAAATCGTGTAATTACCGGCCAATTCCTTTTATGTGCAATCGCTGTAACATGCACGAGCACATATTATAATTAATGACTAAGTATGTACAACAAATATCATGATCTCTTTGTCTGCATTGCTTCAGGAGCTTGCTGTCTACTGTTACTTCAGAGGCCAGACATGTCTTCAAGTTCGCAATAAGTTAACAATTGCAAATCGATGTAATTTTTTTAAACTTCTTTAAGGCCTTTGACTATGTGTCTTGCACTAAAGTTATAGAAAAACTGGGCAATGGTTCAATAGTTGACTGGGTTAGTGATTACCTTTCAGATTGCTACCAGTTTGGGTACTATAATGGACATAGTTCTGACTCTGTTAAGGTCGTTGTGGAGATTCCACAGGGCTCTGCTTTTGTTATTCATAGATGACATTGTTGAAACTGTAAACGCTGAAATTAGATTGTTTGAGGTGACTGCATGATTTACAGTGAAATCAAAGACATTGGTGATCGGGTTGCTCTTAACAATTTTCTAAACAGTGTATCCAGTGTAGTTGTTGTAGAGTGTGTAAGAGGCTCTATGAATGCCACTCTTTTATTATCTTATGAAGAAGCCATTCAGCATTGAGGCACATTTTCAGAGGCAAAATCCGAGTGTTACAATTGGCGGCAGAAGGCTGTGGACGCAACAGAAGCCCTGAAAAGGCTCGGCGGCACAATGCGCCTCATAAGGGATACTGGCAGGATTCTGGAGTGCAGCATCAAGGACCTCCACGAACAACTTGACGAGGCCACTAGGCTGACCAGCCCAGCACGTCAGCCGAGCCCAGTTGTCCAGGATTCTACCGTGGAGAGCAGCGCCACCAGCATCGAAGTACTAGGTGCGGGGCTCAACAACCAAGCAACCCGAGTTTCTGAACATGCCGTAAGCCACTTCAGCCACAACCCGGTGTTGATATCTTGGCCAAACTCGTTTGGCCAGACAGTTGTGGAAGAGCCGTCGCTCAATGTACCTTAGTTCAGACTGGCTTTTAAGTTAATCCAAAACTCGTCAGTTCTTTCTATGCGTCTGCAGCCACCACCTAGTGTGTCCTTCGAAACCATTTTGCTTGCCTGTTAAAAGAGGGAAACTGCACTTGAAAACACTTGTTCGAAATTAAAATTCTTAGTTGATTTTATTGGTCTTTATTAAATGTGCATAGTCTATGCACAGTTGGGTGCTCATTTCTATAATGTAGTTTTTTTTTTTGTAGAATGTTATGTGGTTTCTAAAGTACAAAGTGCTTGTGTGTTAGCAACATTTTTCCCAAGACGAAGGAGCTACAATTGTAGCACATCAGCATAATGTAATAATTTGGATTGAAAACAGGAATGGATGTTCTAAACCTATGTGATTAAAAATTAAACATTTGTGAGTGGTGGCAAGTGATGTGTTTGATGTCAAGCCAGGACTTGACTCATGTTCAATGTGTCGTAACTTTTGTGCAGGTGGGTTTAGAAAATCTGTTCTTGTTTTATTGCATACAGCTCTCATACCACTGTTGTAATACACCAATGTGCTTCATAACTATCCCATTTGTGGCAAGATCTTGCTGACTAAAAGATGTAAGAAGTGCTGTATAATTTAAGAAGTACATATTGTAATGGAAACATATTTGATATAGCGCACAAATACACTAAAAATCTCTGCGAGTGTCATTAAAAACTATAAATAAAGTTCTTGTGCAGCGTTCCTCCTTGAAATGTGTTTAACAGTGCTCTCCCTGGGTACAGAGATTCGGATGCCTGTAATCCGATTCACTAATTTTTCAATTTGTGGATTGGGTTTATTGAAATGGGTGAATTATTTGCATCATGTTTCTTAGTCCTTCATTAAGTGCCCCTATTTTTGAAGGAAGTCGTGTCGTAGCTGTTTGGATGACACAGTTTTTTTAACATGCGACCCGCGCCACAGTCTGCTTTTCGGTCGTATGACTGTCTGGGAACTCTGCAAGCCTTTCCCCATCAATAGCCTTTCAGTGCTCAAGTTTCCTCCATGTCACAGGCCCAATAACTTGTTGAGCTAACTTTCGCACTGTACAACACACTACTTCAAGGGAAACTGAAAGCCAACTCTGATTCCTTTCATCATTCAATCTGAAAATGAAAAATGCAACCACTAGAAGAACGGAGTACTGGTATGACTGGAAGTTGCCTTTGAGAAAGCCATATTTTACCCATTGGAGGTTGTAGCATATCGATATACTAAAGGGGTAGTAGAAAGTGATTTCACTGCTCACACATCCACATGACCCTCTTCTGGCATTTGTTTTAATACATAAAAATTTTGTTGCACTTTGGAAAAAGAAGTTGGTTTTTGGCATTTGAATGCAAGGGAATCTTTGAGAGAACCTTCAGGAAATTTTCATAGAGTGAAACTCGTAATTTGTACATTTTTATAGCTGCTTGCCAATAATTGGTGTCACTGTTCAGCAAACCTCACTGTTAGATATTGGTCTGCAGCTTTAATGAAACTGTGGCTCGTGGTCGCTGGAAAAAACGTGCCCACCTCGGCTTGAGATGTTGTTTGCTTATGCGAGTAAAATCCGATCATCTTTTTGAAGAATACTGAGCAGAGGACACGTGATACGTTTCCTTTGCATACCTCTTGAAATACAGCTGAGAAATGCTCCCGACTCTCCCAAACTTCAGGTAATGTTGGAAACACGGCGATTTTCCAGAAATAGTGTGACATTGCAAGTAATGTTATAGTACTGATGGTACATACATCCCAGAAACGTTTACCAGGACAGCTGAATGTGCTTGCCCGAGAGATGCATGTGTGTGAAAGCCTCGATTTGCGCACTCTCTGTGAGTTCGTACATTTCGTACATAATATTTACCAAGGGATGACAGCCTGTGCAAAACGAGATTGCGAAATGTTTGCCGAGCCGGTTCACCGTTTCACATTTTGCTTCTAAAAATCAAATTTGCATATTTTAAAATATTAGCAGCAGCAGTCTGCTCGAGATCTAAGTGTAAAGGCCACCTTTTTTGGTATTGCTAGTCATTCCAAGAAATGTGATTTTTCTGACTGAACTTGGCTTATTCTCTCGGAGAAACTAGAGCATTGTCTTGAATCAGCTGGCAGACGCCCTTCTTGTGCAATCCAATGCTGCGTTTGCGTTGCTTCCTGTGATAATGGTCTGCCAGCTGTTTTAAACATCTCCTTGTGATATTTTCTATGTTCGTTATGTATACCTCGATTATTGTTATTATTATTACTTTTTCTCCATTTTGTTGCTGTTGTCATGACAATAAACAAGAGTTTTTGAGGTGGTTTTATTGACTGGGGATATGTGGCAAGATTTGCATATGTGATCTTCAAAAAGATGTTTTTAAAAAGTTTGTGTGTGTGTTTACTGCATTGACATTATTTTTTTTTACTGCTGTAAGCTATATTATGGTGAATAAAGTTTTCTAGTGACTTGTAATAAAGTTTATTCATTCAAATTTTGTAAATCTGATACATTTGCGAGGAAGTTACGCGGAAATAGCATCTCCATTTCTGTGTGGTATAATGGACGAATGTTCGGCAAGTTTCTTCAGAGTGCAGATGCAGTGATTAGTATAAAACGAAAATTTTCGATACACTGCGAGGTCAATGCGTACAATTTAAACACCTTTATATGCATAGAGATTTGGGCCTTTGACAGAGTTCACTGGCTCGAAAGCTTTTTAGCACTAATACCCATGGTGTTTACAGTAGTAATGGCGATGCAATGCACAGTTACATTGTTGTTGCACAATAGGGTTACTTCATGGATGCCAAGAAAAGAAAATAGTAGTTGAGGTTGCCGAGGACTATGCAGCAAGACGAAATTCACATCTTCAGAAAGGTGTCGTTAGAGACCTCTGGGAGTGGTCTTCATAGAGCAGTGTGCATTAGGACCAGTTGGTGATCATGATTCTAGGCCGAATGCCTAGACTGACATGGTGCGGTTGCACCATGTCAGTCTGCACCGTAGCAATATTGAAATAGGTGACCAAAATGTATATGAACTTTTTCTTCAAAAAATAAAGGTGCAAAGGTACAACAGCCATGAAAATTATTACCTGCTTATATTGTGACATGTGCAAGTAACCAAGTTTAAACAAGACTCATTGGCACTTGGGCATTAAGTGCAGCATACTGTATACTTAAAAAAAATGGTGCAGCCCTTGATGGTGCGTGAATTTTTGGCTGGTTACATAATATATGAAGAAAAAAGTGCATGGTTTGTTTCCAGCAAAAAAAAAGTTATATATGAGCAAAAGCCATAAATTCAAACTCAGCCCTCTGTATCTTTAAGCGAGAAAACTCGCGTTAATTCGAATGTGTCTACATCTACAATGTTTAATCCGAACTGGGAGGTTCCTGTTTGCATTGCTTCATGTAGGAGTCAGCTCAAAGGATTGCAAATCTAAACGAAACCAATTTTGCTAGCGATGCAAAACAACGAAACAGCAGTGTTTCTCGGCCCATGAGAATTCGGACGCTGCGCCAGAGCTCCTGGGCAAACTACAAAAAATGCTCGTGGGGTCTTGACTGAACCACAAGCAAATACGAATTGCTGAATAGTACTTTGAATTTTGATTGCATTGTCTCTGCCATGCAAATAAACGTGTTTTGGGGCATAAATAGTGCCACGTGAATTTATTGCCATATATTTCGACATTAACGGGTCACTGCTCACAAGAGTGCACTTCTTTCTGGCGTATCACTGATTGATAAATTAATTTATGTCGCTGTTGGAGCTTTGTGATTGTAACTCGCGAAATCACCTGCCACGGAGAAAGCGACAAAATCGGGATAATGAGTTGAGAGTTGGTTACTTCGGGCTCTGCTCGTGCAGTCGATACGACGTTCGTTCGTTCTAGCACCCGCCTGCAGATTCGAACTCCACCTAATTCGAACAATTCTATAGTCCCCTTCGAGTTCAAATAAACGAGCTTTTACTGCACTGCAAAGCTTGAAAAAGTTTGCCAGGTAGGAATTTCATGCGATTACAGAGCGTCTTGGAAATTATTTGGCAGATGCCCATATGGGCTTTGTGTAACATGTTCATGCACTAGGATTGTTTGTTTGTTGTGGATACAAGCAACGAGTAAAAGTTTTGGCCTTAGCTCGAGGGGTGTCCTTTTGTTGAATAGTTGCAATAAGTTCGGCATGTAGGTTATCCACACTCCGAAAAGCAACATACTTTGTGGGCCTTACAGTATTAAGTTCTAATATCTGGGTCAAAGCCTTGTTGTCAAGTTCCGATTGCCGCTACTGCTCTTAAGTTCTCTTGCTTTGACAAGCAGCAAAATGGACCTTGGCTCTAAAATTCGAAATCGGTGTCTGTTGTCTCTATGGCCCAGCGAAACTTTTCCCGCTGAGTCTTGTTGAAAATTTTCTCGAAGGGGACATCCCACATCTTGCACCTGGAATAAACGTTGCATAAATGCTTGTCTGAGCTATATGCTTGTATAAAAAATCTGCTTTCATGTCAAGGCTGCCATAACATACTTTGAAAAGCTGCGTCGTATTCCAGTTGTCTGTACAGCTAATTGACAATTTTAAAAACTGCAATGCACCCTTTGCTTTCCTGGACTATTATATATTAATAGATATAATTCTATTCTTTAAACACACACACACAGAGGGGGCTTACGATTGATTATCCGTTAATAAGTAACTCACTTTATTCCCCTTGTTATATTCTTCTCAATAAACAATGCACAGACAGCTCAAGTCGTTGCCATTGCCAGTACTAAATATAAAGTTATATAAATCCCCTTTACATATAATTCTTGCTCAAGGGGTATCCTCTCGTCAAAAAGTCAGCTTGGCATAAGCAGTGCATATAGGGAAACTATACCCTGTAACAAAAGATTTTTTGCTAGGTTTCTTGCAACAAGAGACATCGCTGAAACATTCTTACCAAGCAACGCTGATTCTTGGGTCGATATAATTGATCTTTGAGGTCACGAGGGCAACGTCTTTGTTCTCTTCCTTGTCGACAGCTTGAAGTTCCAGTCTGTCTAGCTCCACTTCGAGCTTTTGTAAGCAATTCTTCTTGCGATCCAACTGCCTGGGTGTGACACAACAGTCTTCAGGTGTCGCGTCCCTTTTGACGATCTCATTTTTGTTCAGTTCTTTTATTTTTTTGCAATGTACTGCTCTTGTTGCTCCATTGAAATGTAATTGGAACAAAGTACACATGTTAGGGAGTGCACACCGACATGCATGTTAATGCCAACAGTTATAGTTATCGTCTGAATATTTGTAATTAGATTTAACTTGCCAAAGCTGTACTGTTTACAGGAATAGAAAAAGCTCGTGACATATGTGAATATTTCGCTCTAATGAACGTGAACACTAGGAAAAGAGGTAGTTTGAAAGAGGCATTGCATTGATAACTATAGTTTGTTAAGCAATGGGAAAAATGTAATCAAATTAGTCACTTAAGGGGTGCACCAAAACTCAAGTTATAGGTGTATTTTACGGTCAGGAACATCGCCTATTTATTCTGTGCTCTGAATCCTGCCTCAAGCTGTATAGTTGTAACCTATATTGCGAGTCCAGTTGTGAGATGCTAGGATAAAGAGCTAGCCCAGCAGTACCATACCGACAGAATATTTCATTTCTGACCATTGACAATCATGTCAAGTTTCCCTTTGGCCAGTTCAGATGATGCACACAAGGTAACCTTTCACGGCAATACATTCTCGTGCTTATTGCATGCATGGACTATGAATTATACTATTGCAGAAGCGTGGTAAACTAGACCAGTTGCATACCTGCCAAATATACCGGATTTCAACATGTTTCTACGGTTGGCAGGAAAATTTCCCGGAAATCTCAATCTGCGTTTAATATGGCCACATTGACAAGTGAGACACAATCCAATCCAGGCTGTTTGCAAACTCATCGCATCAATGTTATAATTTGAACCAATTCAGGGGGCATTAATGGTTCGAACACTTTAATGCGTCGCGGCGGGTGATGCGAACCCCGGTATGAAACCGTTGAGCGATGCCCGAGAGCAGCATGATGGAAGCTTTAGAGTTACACGCGCGGCCGAAGCACACACTGTCAGAACTGTGGTTTCCGTTCCCCACGATCAATGGGAACGAAACCATTCTCTGTACTAAACTGCGGTTGCTCTTGACATGATCATGAATGGCGGCAACTAAGCTGAGAGAGCTCTGAAGTGCATGCGCGTCCTTTCGCCCAGTCAAAGGGATCGATGCTTTTTTCGCAAATGCTGCTGACAAAATCGCGGCAAATGGGATCATAGTTAGCCAAAAACTACATTTAGTAGTTCGTGGTTACAAAGAAATACAGAAGAAAGAGATATGTGTGGCCCAGAAAGAGAGTTATCTTGACGGAAATAGATGTTCCGAGCGTATGTCGTTGATGTTCCGTGCGTATGTCATGGCTTGAAAACCAGTTTTTTTGGCTAGTGTTTTATTATATGAAATTTCGGGCGATACGAGTATTTTCGCTCCTGCTAAAGATTAGAACTGCCGAAATTGTATAGTAGTTGGGGAACCTTATAGTATAGAGATGATTTACGTGTTAAAAGTGTGGGAGGGCTGTTAAATTGGCACGTGTTCCCCCTCGGAATCTTTTGGATTCAGATTTCTTGAACTTGGCAGGTGTTGAGTTGGTAATAATGCACTGTGAAACAGCGCAAGGAAGAATGAAGCACCATACAAGGATACAAAAACGGGGCTGTATTACTCACAATTTTTTCTTTTGTGACTTGGACTTTCTCCAGTCAGATTTCAGCTGCTCGATTTCCAGTTCACACCTCTGAATGTGCTCCTCTTTCTTCTCTATCTGCACACATAACAGATGACACTCACGACGCTTGCTAAGAAATACTCATGTGGATTGTACAAGCACTAGTTTCACAATCTTATATTGATTTCATTGACATTGCAGGACTACTGTCAGCTTTCAAAATTTTTCACCTCTGTAGGCTTAAAAGTTTAGACAACAATTTTACCATAATGCATAGTCAAAGTCATGTTTGTTTTGTTGTGTTTGCCTTCGTAGGCCTTTAGATGGGACAATAAAAAGCTTATGCCACTACCTGCGTAGTGCATTTTCGCGGGTTTGCACTTATCTACAGCTGTCCAAAGGGCAATATGGCTGTAAGGAGCTTCTGTAGGAAATTCGCACACAGTAAAAAGCCTAATTTTAACGTATACGCATCTGACACAAGAATGGCTTCGTTCAATCATTACAAATGTAACATTTAAAATGACAACACAAATGTTCATTTACTTCATTATAACCAATACTTTATGACACCGAGGTTCTACTATATATAGAGCTTTAAACATGTCATCACTTTGTCTAAAATTAAGAAACCTAAGCCTAAATATTCTTTAAAGTGCTGCACATATTTCAGTCGGTATTTTCCTGTTTGCACATACATGTACACGGTTCCCTGTAATGGTAACGATCTTTAGAGCATCACACTTGTGCATTTTAAAGCAGTTAGCATTTGGGGAAAATAACCGCAACTGAGAGATATCTCACGATATCTGTCATTTTGATTCGCTGTTGTTTAAAACATTGCGCGAGTTTTTTAACCGGTCCTTAAGGGACATAAAAAAACAACGTTTCTCCTGTTGATAAATTACTATTTTGCAATTAGGAAATTCCAACCCTTGGCGTGAGAAGACTCTTGGTAAGCGAGAAAAGGCTCAAAAAGAAAATGATGGTGGGGATGACACATTGAAATTCTAGCACCAAACGTCGTGATGTTGCCGATTTTAACGGCGTCTGCCAGCGCCTATGCTGAACTTGGTAAAAATGGATGAGATTCACCTGCAACCTAAAATAGTGAGTCTCAGGAAATTTTTTTTGCACCTATGTCGCCAGAATAACACAAATACATTTTGAAATCCGTGACGTCACGCGTGGCGATTTCTGTACCGAATTTAAAAATGAAACTTTGATATTGATTGTCACCTCTACCAATAAACTTATGATCCTGGAATTAGCGACTTTAGAGCTCTTAGAGGACACTTTATCAATCTAAACGGATTCATGGTTTGTATATTTAAAAAAATTAAGGCAGGTGTGCCCTAGTGGTGCCACTGAGCGTGAAAAAAGTGCGGAGCATCTCTTTGTTTTTTTTATTTATTTCAGTTTCTCTTACTTTCTCTTTATTTGGCGCTATCTTTATTCCTAGTTTTTCGTTTTCTTCTCTTTATCTATTTCTCGCTTGCTTCCTCTTTTTCGATTTTGTATGTGATTTGTAGTGTTGTGTTTCCACAGCCATAGTAGCAATGTTCGCGCTTGGTATCGTAATCCAGGCCCTCTTATTACCAAGAGTAAAAAGGCTTTCTTTTTTCTTTTTTCGGCACAAACGCCCGCTCAGTACGCTGCAGTTGGCTACACCAAGCGATGACAACCACATACGATCACAGCGTACTACGGCCCGCCCCCTAAAGTGGGGCTCAAAGTGCGGTTAGGCGTGACGATAGATAAAGCACCGCCAATAATACACAACATAAAACACGCTGCCACATATAACCACGTAACACAGCATGCTAAACACATTCTTCAGTAGCATCTAGCATTGGTTTGCTGTTATTGTTTCATTACCTTGATTTTCCTGATTCTACACATTTAATTTACAAGATTATAGTATTAAGGCAACGTTATCATAATCCGTGAAAAGCCCAATGTTTTAATTGTGAGCAATGCTCCAATGGGGAAACCAAAACACTTCATTTCAAAATTATGGTTAGTGTTTATATCTATTGTTTCAATATCATTGATAGTTGGGCAAGTTTGTAAGAGTCAATGATTAAGAAATGGTGCAACAAAAAAAGAAGAAGCACACAACACTGACGACGAAGAAGATACGCGGTGCCTTTCATGTCGTATTCGTTGTCAGTTTCGCATGATTTTTTTGCACCGTTGCACATTTTAATATACTGAAATTTACACTGTTTTCTTCTTGTACTGTCACTTATATATTTATGCGTGCATTTCATGATTGTCATCCCTGCTCTTTGCAAAAAATTATGTTTATAATATCAGAGTCCTTCAAAAGCATTGAAGGACTCTGATATAACGAACCCGGCTAAAACAAAATATCAGTTTTAACAAAATAAATGAAACATAGTCTTGAAAAAGATAAATTTAGAAATATACCTGCATAACGAATTTTAGGATATAACGAGCTTATTTTTGTTTAAGATGCAAGTTCGGTATAATTAGGTTGATGAATATCACGTTCACCTTTGTTTGGATGTTTTCAATTTGCTTGTAAAAATTCTTGGAAACGGCTCGTCTGTGATTGCACAGAATGGCGACTGCCCTGTTGGCTCGGTTGTAGACAAGCAGCTTCTCGGGCAATGACATACCGGCTGGCGGTTAGAGACAGAAAATTAGCAGTAATTAAACATCGGCATTCAAACTCCGTTAGAGAAGAGCGGACGTCTTGCACAATAAAATAGTGCACTGAGCTCTGAACAGAGGTCGCTGCTGCAGTAAGTAAATCAAAAAGCACCCGAATGGCAGCCCTTGAACTTGAGTCTCGCTTCGTCACATTCATGCAGAGGATCCTCTAAGGTTACTTTAAACTATATGTATTCTTTGGAATCCATGTAAAGTAATCCTACCCTCGCGTACCTTCCAGTGCGATCATGGCAATTAAGGAACAGAAAACGCTCATTGTATGCAGTGACTCCTCTTGATGGATTTGAAAAAAAAAATAGTATTTCTTAGGCAACGAACTCCTTTAATATGTGCTATGTATCTATTCCTGTTACCTTTCGTCGTAGTATCCAGTCCCTTTTGGAAGGTCATAGAAGCGTTGTAAGTACGAAATACCTTTGCAGTCAGCCCCTTCATGAGTTTGTTGAGATATTTGTTGAGAGAAGCGGTCTGCAATGGTGTACATGAATTTCAGTGCAAGTAGCCCCATAATCGGCTGAATACGGCGTCATGAATTATTGCAATTCAACGTCGGCAGGTCTGTTGCCACTCCAGAAAACTACAATCATGCGCTAAAATGTGAGAGTGCATTGACGTTGATGAAATACGTGAGGAAAATTGCTTCACTCGATCACTGACGAGCCCCATTCAAAATTCGGGATTTTGGCGCACGTCCACGTGGCGCCATCTCTCGGCGGTGGCAGCGGTGCGTTTCTGTAACTATATCTGACCAAAAAAAAAACAAAATAAAAAAAACAAAGAAAAAAACGTTTCAAATGGAATTCCGCATTTATACAGCTATGACCTACTCGAAGCTTCTGGTAACATTTAAATCGCAATCGCAGAAAAAGAAGTAGCTTCCCGTAATTATTTGAAGGGACACACAAGTGAAACAATGGCTTGGTTTAAATGAATAAACTCCACTCGGAGAAGTAATAATTTTAACTATGATAAGTTCATTATTAGCGGAGAAAATCAAAGCTGAAGAATATATATATATATATATATATATATATATATATATATATATATATATATATATATATATATATATATATATATATAGATTTAATTTCGCGCTGTAACTTCCGCTTGTGACGATACAAATTTTAAAATGTATTTTTCTTACTTTCGCGACATGGGCTCGATGAAATTTGCTGAATGGAACCCACAGATGACCTATTTTTTTTCGATTAGAAAAAAAAAACATAATCATCATCAGCCTGACTACGTCCACTGCAGGGCAAAAGCTTCTCCCGTGTCCCGCCAGTCAACTCGGTCATGTGCTTGCTGCTGCCGCTTTATGCCCGCAAACGTCCAATATGCCCACCTAACTTTGTGTCTCACCCGTTACAGTCAATTACCCTTAATGACCACCGATCCTGCCTATGCGCTACGTGTCCGGCCAATGTCCACTACTACTTGATTTCAACTACGATATCCTTCACCCCGGTTTGTTCCCTGACCCACTCTGCTCTCTTCTTGTCTCTTAAGGTTACACCTATCATTTTCTTTTCCATCGCTCCCCCCCCCCCCCCTCCCGAGAAAAATTTCTGACTATGCGCCTGCTCTTGCAGGCCCTGCAGTGAATTCGCTAGCTTAGGCCATATGCTCTAACGTCGCCTCTCGTTACGAGGCACGGACCGAATCATTCGAGACTAGTGGTTATCTGCTATGAGAAGCCCCAGTGCTTGGCTCAACCACGGGCTGTCCAGAGGGTCCACGATGCGGCGGTCGGCCTTGGCCCGACTGTCCCAACGTGGCAGCGGCCTGCTGCGCGCTCAGTCAATCCCGTTAGGGTTCTCAAAAAAGTTATGCATTCATCCATTCATGTAATTTTCGAACCCCATAGCATTCACCATCGGTGGAAGGGGAGTGTTATCCCAGCGCCCGCCTTCCCCCGCCTCTAATTGGTTGAGCCCAAAAAGACAACATGTCTAACAATGGATGATATAACACAAATTACGCGATCACACAGTGGCCTGCCTTTAGCTCTTGACTTTCTGGCAATAATTATGGTATAAGTAATTAAATATCGCTTGTGATGCCACATAAAGACTCTTCGGCCGCCATTATTCTAAAAAAGACGGCGTGGTTTCATAATCCTGCATGCTTCTCTCCCCTCCACCCTCAGAGGTGTATCGGGGAGAGGAGAAACGGGGAGCGATCTCCCTAGTCTGTGATGCTCACGTATACAGTATTTCATAACAAGTGGTTTCTTTTTTTTAGGCGTTTGTTCACTCACCGTGAGTAAATCGAACAGGTCTTCTGTTGGCTCTTTGCCCTCCATGAAAAGCTCCAAGTTGCCGAAGACGCGCTCGTCCACCGGAACCGTCTTCGCGTATCGGATGGAGTCCTTTCCGGGGAAGTCGAACTCCACCAGAAACGGGTCAGACTCGCTGTCCGTCTCGTGCAGCGTGATGTGCTCCACACGCAGAGAGCAGCAGCCGACCGTATCGGCAGTGGCGCCACCTTCCCGTTCATTTCCAGCTCTCAGTGCGAGCTACAGAAGGGGCCCAAGAGAGGCAAGGTAGTAAGAAGACAGATCCGCAGAAAAAACGTGAAAGTGGGAAAAGAGAATATCGATCAGTTTCGCCGCCATGACGAATTCATGAATGCAAAATTCTATCAACCAACTCCTTTAGTATTCTATCTTACTTAGATAATCATGACGACGGTGTAAAGGGACCTGGGTGCTGCGGTGAGCGACGCGACATTCGTGCTGTCGATGGTTTCACCGCAAACTGCTGCGAAAACAGCATGTACAAAGGTATGAGTTTTCTGCTATTATCTCTCAAGATAGGGTGACCGACTGATCATTGTTCCTGCAGCTATCCCCTCCTCTTCTTCCGGACCTCTCATGAGTGTTTCGTGTGATGGAATACGGTCGGTATACGTTCCGGCTGGCACGAAGGCGATCGGCACTTGGGGGTAAGGCGTACGAAGTCTGCCCTCCATATTGACTTAGTATGGGAGGGTGTGCTGCGATGAACCCTAGGCTTGTGGCAGCTTGGGCTAGTTGGTACGACATGATGATAGTTATAGTGCGAGAACAGAACGACGACACAGAGAAGTTCGTGTTCTTCGTAATCTTCGGCCTTCCCTGAACCTTGCGCATGCGTAGAACATACGACGTGGTGGGCCGTGTCACAGCTTTTGCACTTAATATGGACCCTCACTGCCGCAACACCGCCGACGGCAAAAATACACTTGCAGCGTTCAAATAACCTTCATCACAATAAAAAAAGACAGCTAGTAGTAACGAGAAAAAAGTCTGAAAAAAAATTGCGATTATGGCAGATCGACAATGGAAACGCACGCGAAGTGGCGGAACCTTCGTGAAAGTCGGTAAATCAATTAGCCTTCAAGAACCCGCTCCCAACTACCTTGTCGATAAGGTACAGTGCCACGGACCGCTGGCGGACACCCATATCTTGCGAATTCCATCCGTTCATGTAGCTGCGTCGTATGCTACGCACGTGGTACTTGAGCTTCCGGGCGAGCTCGTACTTGCGCACGTCCTTCTCGGCCCTGAATTTGGCGCTGGCGTCGAGGATGACGTACTTTGTGCGTCCCAGCACGTTCCACGAGGCCAACCAGGAGACACTGTCGTCGTGACGAACTTCTTTCCAGCTGTGTCCCTGGGGCGGTTTCGGCACCGGCGCATCCCTGCGCGCAGCAGGAAGTATACAGGGGTCAACACGTACGCTTGTCTAGAGCACTGTAAACGTGCGCTCCGGAATCAACAGGAAGCGCGCCAACCTTTGACTAGTTTGAGATGGCTCACTCATGATCATTCATGACTGACGATACGGGTGCTCACGTGCTCGATATTGGGGTCAAGCATGATGTTACGCTAAACGCCGCCCGTGAAGTCTAACGTGCACCGCTTGGACGTTCTAGACAAGTGTGTAGAACTATGTATGTCCGTGTCTGTAAAAAAACATGAAGTCACCAGCTGCGTCTGACTGCAGAAAAAAAAATCGCTGTTTCGCTGCAAGTGCGAAGTTGATAAAAGCGATAGCATCGAATCGAAGTGTCATCGAAGGCCAGCTACCATCTCTTTTAGTATCCCGATCCGGCTTCATAAAATAAATAAAAAGGACTGACGTGCAAGTCGGTTTTGCGGTATACCGCGAGGTAGTGTAAGAGTCGAAGGGAATTTAGCGATGGGTGGTTGTCTTTCGTACAACGCTGGTGTAAGAGAATGCGGCTGCTGCACCGTGCTGTCTATCGCTTCAACGAAAACTCAGCACTGAAAACACAGCGCGTAATGTAAGTACCTACGAACTGTCTGCTAATCTCGTCCAAGATAAGGGCGCGCGACCGTCCATGAAAGCTGAAAGTATGCAGTTTTAAAGACGATAAGTCTTTCTTGGGGACCTTCGACGCAAAAATTTTGGTCAGCCTGTCTGTCTGTACATTTGTCTGTTCACTCTTAACGGCACCGGGTACTTGAAACGGCCGACTCCATCCGCAGCGCCCACCAATGCTGCTCAAGACTTAGCGTTCACACTTGTGCAATTGTCAACTAAAAATCAATTATTGCGCATGTCTGCGGCACCATAACAACAAGTACATAATCTACATGTGCGTCTTTTACTATAATAGGCACACATAAGTAATTTTAAGGACCGTATAGCACTTATCACCTTGCGCTGACCATGCAACGCTTGCACGAAAAGGCGTGTTTTTTCAACGCTCTGCTAAGACGAGACGGTGGTGGCACCTACCCGTCGCTTTGCGTTCTATACCTAATCACCTCTGAGACGGGCGCGCACACCCGTTTCAGAGTCACGCGCTACGTTTTCCCAGAAAACTGCCAGATGACGCTCATGTCTCACGTGGGACGTGGCTTGATCAACACCACCTAGACTAATAGTCTAGGTGGTGTTGGCTTGATGCGCTCGTTCGCCTCCGCTCGAGGCACTCCAGCGCAGCGTCTCCAGAACGCCATTCGCCGATTTTCTTGCACAGAACATCAAATAAATGTTTCGTTCGCTGTCTCCACACGCAAGACTATCGTCCTTCGGCGAAATTCGCAAATTAACATGCAGATACGGGCCATTTTTTTTGCATAGTACCTTTTCCCTCTTTCTTCGGAAAACGGCTTTTGTGTTTCCGCTGGAGCCGGCCCCTTTTATCTTTTTGAAGTGTGAATACACTTTATAAGCGACCCCAAACCATCCACCGCCGTCGGCGGCGTCCGCAGTCTTCTCTCTATCTTTAAAAGAAAGAGGACTTGGTGGGCCGCAGCGCGACGCTCTACCGAATAAGCCACGGACGCGACGCTGATATCGGTGTCGCTCCTCCGCTCTCCTCGCTCGCTGCAGCTGCGCGCGCACCCCTCTCTCTCTCTCGCGCCCGCCTTCTCTCTCAGTCTCCCGTCGAGAGCGGGTCGTGAGGGGGAGTAAAGTTAAAATCCGTTGGCATTCGCCGGTGAGTTAACGTAAACTCCCCCGTGTGATCAAATTGCGATTCCCAGGAACCATTACACCATAAAGGCACCATAGTGTGATTAATAAATATAATAGTGCGAATTAATAAATACCCTTCATAGCATCACCCCGTGTATTCGCACTTAACCATGTTCACCCTCGGGGAAATGCTTGGGAGTTAGCACTATCACACACACTCACTCTCTCTTTCTCTGGAGCCGGTTCTTTTTATCTTTATTGAAGTAACTAGAGGAAGTAACTAGAGTAACGAGGTTGAAGTAACTAGGGGAATAAGAATGGGGTGGAGCGCATTCGGCAAGCATTCTCAAATCATGAATGGTAGATTGCCGCTATCTCTTAATAGGAAGGTATATAACAGCTGCATGTTACCGGTACTTACCTACGGAGCAGAAACTTGGATGATTACAAAAAAGGTTAAACTTAAGTTGAGGACGATGCAGCGAGCAATGGAAAGAAAAATGATAGGTGTAACCCTAAGAGTCAAGAGAGCATAGTGTATCAGGGAACAAACGAGTGTTAAGGATATCATCGTCGAAATCAAAAAGAAAAAATGGTCATCTATTGAAGGAGCTATTTTTTTATCTGTGGTTTGCGTAGATCTATAGCTGGAGATATTTTAGCGTGGGTCTCAGCTCCGGTATAAAATGATTTATTATTTTAATCACGCAATAAAGTCACTTACATCGCTGCCGACCGCATTACCACGTAGTGGCGCTCGCCAGAACTTTGCGGGCGGAAATGACGCTGGAAGGTTGCCGCCATATCATTGGATAAATGTAACGTTAGAAGCGATCGTAGTGTAGGACCAAAAGAGGTCACTAATCTGTTTAATTCTTCTTCTCTCTGCTTTTTCATCGAACCCTGAACAAACGCTGCCACAACAAAAAAAGATCACTGCGACTACAAAGCACGACAGAGGCGCTGGCTGCCAATTCGCTACTGGGTTTTAGGCGTGCGCGGGTAGGATGTATATACGAAAGATATCTCTATCTCTTTTCTTCCCTCTTCTTGCTTTTGGGAGTTTGCGAGCAGCCTCTTTCCGCGCGTGCCCTGTTCAAGGGTTGCAGTGCACCATTGTTGTGGTGGCTCACCGAACAACGCGCGAATGGTCAACAACACTTCACTGTCTTGGTCGTTTCACAAGTTCCTTTCTCAGAATAAGAGGAGGGATTGACTGGGGATGTTGTAAAAAACAGCGGGAAAATAGCTCGCTTCGACACGGCAGCTCCCGCTCACGTTCTGGCAAGCCAGGCGTCAGGCACCACGCTTGTTACTGTGGCAACACGGTTAACATGACTTTGAAATAAAAAAAAAAGAACAAGCAACGATAGGGTGCGAGCTTCCGTCACGTAAGCTCTTCCAGCTTATTTCATTGGTGCAGCCTTCCGACGTCATGGGCGAGTGAAATGTGGTCAAGTGACCCCGCGAAAATCGAGTTGAGGGCCACCATTTTTTTTCTTGTATTTTGAAATTTCAAACTCGAATTACGTCAGATTGCGTGCCGTTATCACTGTCGTTTTTGCTGCATTAGTCTGTCTGTACTTCAGTCTACACAACCCACGAATAAAACAGGGGGTTGACTAGTGTTGGAGGGCCCCTTTATGGATAAGTCTCAGACTGGATTCCAAGTGAAAGCAAGCGAGTGAAGGGGGACAGAATGTTAGGTGGGCAGACGAGATTAGGAATTTTGCGGGTACAAAGTGGCAGCAGAGGACCGAGCTGACTGGCGGAACATGGGAGAGGCATTTGCCCCGCAGTGGGCGTAGTCAGGCTGATGATGATGAAGACGGCGTTATTTCGAGACATCGACCAGGAGACGCTTTTTTTCCCCTTGGTATGGAGCGTTAAGACTCTCCACACACCGTAGTCAGATTACACGTATAGAATATTTTATTTTGATATTAAAGTTTTGATGTCCGAGCATCTGCAAGCCAGGTACACTGCAATGGACATTATCCCGACGAGTCGACACCGTTACACTGAATTTGAAAACTTTGCGTCTTTTGACCACGCAGCCTAAGTCGCAGGAATTGTATTCAGGGTCGCTAGACGACATTTTTCTCATCGCTGATGTGGACCTCGATAAGTCTCATCTGCCGCTATTACGTCTCGAGTTGCTGTCTTCCTGTGACGTCACACTGCGATGACACATCAGTGAGAAGCCGCCTCCTCAATATCGAAACCGAAAGTGTTTTTTTTTTAAGTAGTGGTATTAAATATACGATGCCTTTTCATGCGCCACAATAAGGTTTCTTGACACTAAGCTAGAATACGATGACATAAAATTCATGTCAGTAACAAGGTCGAAGACGAACAAACAGCTTGAAGGTGACATAGAAGAACTGCATGAGAGAAGGATAAGCAACTTTTTGCGCAGTGTTGGCTGACAAAGGAGAGCCCAACGGGAGTATCATACGGCTCTACAGTGTGTTTAAATAATAGTATCAATTATGTTTCGGCTACGGTGAAAGGGAGCGTTTCTTCGAAATCATTATACGTACAGTGACTCACTTTCCAATGTTGATAATGACATCTTCCGGCTGAACGCGTCGTTTCAGCATGCCCATGTTGGGATGTTGCCCGCGACCGCAGAACAGTCCGGGTGGTTCTATCTTGAAGTTCGCGATTTTCTGCCTGTGTCCGTCTACGATGCAATAGCCGTACTTCTGCTCCAATTTGTCTCGCTGGAGTTTAATCGCCTGTGGACAGAAAAAGGCCGCTAACTTTCATCATAAATAAATAAATAAATAAATAAATAATAATAAATAAATAAATAAATAAATAAATAAATAAATATTCTGTAGCCGTCAACGATGCAGTAGCCTTACTCCTGCTCAAATCTGTCCCACCGGAGTTTAATCGCCTGAGGATGGAAAAAACCGCTACCATTCATAGTCAGTCAATCAATAAATCAATCAACGCGAAGATGACGACGTCGATAAAAGAAAAGATAATTCAATCGCAAACCATGAGGCTCAATTCTCGTAATTTCTCATCGTTTTATCTCCTCTTTTAACGCCGGCACGTTACAATATTACTAAGCCAGGGATCCGCTACCCTTCCAGTATATACGCACCAAGATATCTTGGATATAAATCAATGTTTATGTCCAGGAATGTTACGCTATATACGTTCGAATTAATTTTTTTCTGTGAAGATTTGCACAACCAGAACAACTGGTCGTATTTCCAGTTTGAGACACATAGACCATTCAATTTCAATGTGACCGTATGGTTATGGTTTTGAAATGGGACCAGCTTAATCCGGTTCAACTGGTTATGGTTCCTGTTGGTGATCAATTGTGTTGTAACTGGAACTGGTTGCTAGCTGGAACCAACTGGTCCCACTTAATTCCCAACTGGAACCAGTTGGCTTAAAACTATAGGACTATTTGATACCAGTTAGTGCCTGTTTTACCAGATCTCAGTTGAAACCAGTTGGATTACTAGTTACACATTTTCACCTGGAAATCGATCAGACCGTGCTTCAACATCGCTTCTCACAAGGTGCATTCCAAATTCCCAACTGAAACACTGAGTTGGCCTAAAACTTGGACTATTTGATTCCAGTTAGTGCCTGTTGTGCCAGATCTCAGTTGAAACCAGTTGGATTACTAATTACACATTTTGACCTGGGAATCGATCAGACCCTGCTTCAACATCGCTTCTCACAAGGTGCATGCCTCGATGGCATAGCGCAAATCGGAACGGTCTTATGGCGAATTACATTGTGAGAGCAGGAGCACTCAAAAGCACGCTGAAAGTGCTTCGGAGCCGGCGTGTTTCAGTGGTCGAACAGGTGCAGGAGTACTGTCATCCATTGATAGAGCGAGAGTGTTTGTGCTGCGCCGAGAGCAGCCAGGAGCAGTTTACAGTGCTCTGGCCTGAAAAGCGGAGTAGGCACAGTACGACGAGTCACGTGGTCCTTGAAAGTCACAGTCTCCGAATTTTTCTTCAGCGGCAAGTGCAGTGACAATGGTAGCATGCGTGTGTAGTTTGACACCGCTGTTTTGTACGGGCTCTGCCTAATGCGTCGTTAGCGTCAATGCACTAACATACTAGGCATTAGGATAATGAAGAGCGTGTGGCTGACCGGTTTCACGTGTATTTTGCTGCTCCCCCACAGAGAATATGCCGGAGCTTGGAATGTTTGGACCACATGGTCTCCCCACTCATCACCCCCTTCACATGCCATGACGATAGTTATAGCGCGAGAAAAGAACGACGACAAAGCGACACGAAGGACACGATCGAGCGCTTCTTGTCTCTGTGTCGTCGTTCTCTTCTCGCGCTATAACTATCGTCATGCCATATACCAACTAGCCCGAGCTTCCACCCTTTACCTGTCCTCCGGGAGCACGGCGCATTCCAGTGGCAGGTTGAGTGGCCCTGCTCTCAGTGCTCTGCCCCCCAGTCCTCAGTGCCCTGCCCCTCTACTCCTGTTCTCTCAACGGAATTCGCCATCAGAGTGCACGACGAACTGTACTAGCCTGCTTTTGCTGCTTCGTCATGGCCTTCCGTTGCTCGGCTTCCGTCTCGTAGTGCGCGCTGATCTCCCGAAAATCGCATTTCCCGAGGTCGGTGATGAGCTTCGCTTCCTTGCGATTCATGCACTTCCTCCAGTCGCGGAGGAAGTTCTCGTTGAACGCTGGCTTGGACGTGTAGTCGCGTTCGAGCATGCGTGCGTAAAAACCAGCCACTTCCTCAGCTTTGGCGCTGAGCCTCACCGGGACATCTGAAAGCGTACGGGCGACAAAGTTTCTTTATTTCTTTTTTCTACCGTAATGTATAAACGCTAAGCATGACAGGGATCGCCGTTGGCGGCTACATGTGGCAAATTGGCTCCTTTTTGGGAGTTCAGACGCTTAAAGGGCTTCTAAAACTTTCCCGATAATGTGCATGCATACGGTTCAGAATGCCGACACGGCCAACAATGCCAAAGGCGGCAGTGCTGCGAGCAGCGGGCGCGCCACAAATTTCAAGACGCAATCCCTTATCTTTATTCTATGCGCCTCTAGGTATTCCCAACATTATTTGGCGTCAAGCCGTCCGCAAAAAGATCCTGTGCGCGATTATCGTTACTGCTTCGTGATTATCCCTTCGCATGTGAGACGTCAACACTCAACTATACTCAATGTCATCGGCAGTTGCGCTATTAGTGAACGTAATGATTAATTCAGCCCAATGTGTGGCTATCGTGATCATTGCTGCCCAAATTGTGAGTTTCTTTCTTTCTTTGAAAATGCTTATAAGTCACCCTCCCCCCCCCCCAAAAAAAAACGTGATTGGAAAATTTCTCGAAGTTCAAATTCACGTTTGAAAAGCGGATATGACAACTCTTCTTTGACTCAACAAGTATACACAGGCGTTGACAGGATTTTTTTTTTTTGGGGGGGGGGGGGGGGTAGGGTGCCTCTATAGTCCTTCTTGTCTCTGTGTCGTCGTTTTGTTCTCGCGCTATAACTATCGTCATCGGCACCCTATAGTCTTGGAGAAGGAGGGGGGGGGAGGGGAGTGCAACCCCTGGGGCGTCATGGGTAGGGAAGGAAGGCCCCGGTTCTTCTTGGGCAAGGGGCAAGGTAAACATTTCGCACCCCCCCCCCCCCCTTTCTCCCACCCTCTGTTGACACCGATGACACTGAGCGCGAAGGCGTGAACTCACTGTTGTAGAAAAAGTGCACGTGGCTCGGTAGTCGCTTGTAAGGTGGTGCGAAAAGCGGCCCTCTGTGCTCTAGCGTGTGCCACATTTTGCGTTTCTTGGCGTCGTTGCGAGGCTCTTCGTCTTCCCACCTGAAGTAAAGACAGGCACACACTCATTCTCCCGAAGAGAACGCATTCCAGCAGGAGCTTCGCAGATACTCGTTTAAGTATACATGACGGAAGTGGAAATTTGAGCGCTCATTTTTCTTTGTTAAGCACAACATCATAGAGAACTGTTCTTACAGTATGATTACTATCAATAACATCCCTTATACTTTCATAGGCATCATTGTCTGTTAGTACTCATTATTTATGTATACATGACGTATATTTGCCAGCTTTGTCATTCAAAAGCAGCTCATACATTCGGGAAATTCAACCAAACTGCAGGTATTGCGGCTGCCTGAAGGCTACCTGGAGTCACAATATTTGAGAATGCTCGGGGAACCCATCACTAAAAAGGAACACTGACGACTTCTTCCCTCGGAGCGTGGGGCCCATCTTGTCGTCGACTGATCACCGTATTCTCGCAGAAGCAATTAACTGAGCCGAAACAGTCACCGAGCTACGGGCAACCACCCTTAGAACCACCGGCAAACCACAATAAATTGAACGGCCTCGTTGTTCCGTCAAATAAAGTTGTTTCTCTCTTTATCCCGTACATTCGGTTTCATGTATTCGGTCGTCGAAGGGGGAGTGCTCGTCAGGGGTTTCAGGCGAGTGTATGCGGTTGTCGAATTGATAGGGGCACCATCGCTACCCCCCCCCCCCTTGCCCTCTTTGGTAGATACCTAAACAAAAGGAGCGCCGCAATGGGTGCAAGAAAACTGCGGAGGGGCGAAACATGTAGGGAAGGGTGTTCCGCCTCCATTAACGTTAAACCTAGGGAAGGGCGAAACATACAGGGCTTTGAGAAAGATTTCTTTCACGAAGCACTGGCGGAGCCAAGCATGAAACCGAAGAAGGGTGTTTCTGCTTCACCAACGTTTCTGCTTTCTGCTTCAGCAACGGCCATTTGTTGGGCCAACTGCTGCTTTCTTCATCTTTAGTGGACCTGTGGCGAGCAGTGCGATTCAACCATTGTGGTGCATGCCCATTTTTATGGTGAACAGGAACTACATGATTGATTGATTTGTGGGGTTTAACGTCCCAAAACCACCATATGATTATGAGAGACGCCGTAATGGAGGGCTCCGGAAATTTCGACCACCTGTGGTTCTTTAACGTGCACCCAAATCTGAGCACACGGGCCTACAACATTTCCGCCTCCATCGGAAATGCAGCCGCCGCAGCCGGGATTTGAACCCGCGACCTGCGGGTCAGCAGCCGAGTACCTTAGCCACTAGACCACCGCGGCGGGGAAAACAGGAACTACATGGCACACCGTGACAACAGGAGACACCGTCAAGCCTGACCACATGGGATGCCTTGCAGCTGAAATGCAAATGAAGCGATGACATGCTTCTCGCAGAGAGAGGCCTGCCATTGGTCCACGGATCTTCGGTGTAAACATTTCCCTAAACGTTAAGGGGTGTAACTTCGCTTCCCCAACGGAGAATCCTGCTCACGTCTACGTGGCTTTCGCTGTCATCACGAGCCGGAAAGCAATCGTCCTGACTATATGAAAGTATATATGCGTGGACGGATCGCCTGCTCATAAGCAACATTATCTTCGGTTTATATATATTGTGGTGTACACGTATCCCGAAGGAGTACGGCCACCAGCGTGGGTTCGGTCTTAGCGAGCCGCAGGGCACGCGTTAACCGTCGCCGTGGCGAGAACACGATACTGCTCAAAGTCGCAACACTTTATTGTGGCAACACCAAACGCAGTACAGCCCGTTGCAAATAGGCGCGGCGGGAAAGCAAGTAGGCTTATCCACGCCACGGGCACAAAGTACTACACAGGGGTGCCACGAGCACGTCTCCGCGGTAAAGGTGATCCACGGAGACACCGGGACAAAGGGCCCGGTTGCTCGAGCGAGGGCAAAGGCGCTCGCGTTGGCTTCGGAGGGAGACGGGTCGGCGTAGCTAGGCCACGCACTAGGACACCGTACTGCCCTTCGGCCGTGAGTACGCAGCGGGGCAACAAAAGGTGAGCGTTCGCCTCGGGCGCGAGGCGCCGTCGGCGAAGTCCGACGAGTCCCGAGCGACGGGACTCGACGGACGGAAAAGAATGCGTGGCTCACCGTTTGAAGTCCCGGACTGTACTCCGCTCCCGACGCAGCGCGCGAAAACCTCTCGGGAGGCTCCCCGCGCGGCGCCACAGTCAACATCCGCTACCGGGTGAGGGAGTTAAACATCACTCCGCCCTTCCCAGCGCGGCAGACAGCAAAGGAGAGCAGACATGTCGGGACATGAGAATGGCAGAAAGGCGGGAAAGCCCGCGCAAAGGCAGCGGGCCAGCCTCAATTCCCACATCCCCCCCTCCTAAACTTGTCCTTTACCGGTCTGCAAAAGGCAGCCGGACGTCACCCATGCAGTTAAAATGACACTGCTATGAGCGGTAGCTAACCTCAGTCCAGCCCTGCTACTGCTGCTTAAAAGAAATATGATTACAAAGGAGAAACAAAAACATAAATAACAAAATAAACACACGACACTATACAAATACTGCAGAAGGGAGCACAGCAACGTGGCACTAGTGTTCGTGGTGCTAAAGGGGGATAGCGTCCAGTGCGCGGAGGTGCGGTGAAGGCGTGACAGTGTCCACTGGGTGCGATGCCCGAGTGCGAGGTCAGAGGTACGGGAGGGCTCACTGATGGCTCGTTGCTGCTCTTGATCAGCCGCGAGTCCGATGAAAACCGCTTCGGTTGTTCGGAGGCCCCGCATATCTGGCTCGATTAGGGAGCTGGACGTTGCGGGAAGCCGGGCCTCTCCGGTGGTCAGGGAGGCCGAACCAAAATTGGCTGCGAGGCGCCCTGGCGTTGGCCGGCAGCGTATAGCTGCTTTCAGCTGGCCTCGCGCAGGAGCCATGGTGGGAACGGCAGCAGGGCTTCTTCGACGGCGGCCGAGAGCAGAGCACAGCCAGACGGTCTGATGTCAATGGGTCAATGACCCCCCAGCACCTCCAGCGTCCGCATCGATGGGGGGAAGCCATGACGCACTCTTCGCGGGCTCGCACTGAAGCGTCACGCACTTACACACGCACACACACCGCCGACGGCTGCGCGAGCGTAGGCGCAAAGCGTCCTTCGTCTCTCTCCCCCGGCAAGCACCGACACTCAAGGTCACACACAGCTCCCTTCGCGGTAGACGAAACGAACACGAAAAAAAAAAGTAAACACAGAGCATACTGACACTAAACGTCTGGCAAAAAAAAAACAAAATACAAATAACACTTAATATTAGACAAAAGAAACATAAAATACACATGAACACTTAAAAAAAATAAACACTGGCAGCAGACACGGTGGGGTCAACTTCTTTACGAGAAAAGGCCGTAAAGAAGCTAACCTATACTGAGGCTAGACAGTAAACTGAGGGCCTTCGGTTGCGGAGAAGTCCGCCGTCCGGCGCGAAATCACAAAGGTGACCGCTTCCTCAGATTATACCGGTGCGGGGTCCGAATGCGGTCCGCCGCCCCGGGTGTGCCCGTTGCTTGCGCGAAGTGCCGCAGGGCACTGGCGCGAGCTCGTCAGACCGTGACAAAGGGCTTCAGGTCTGCGATGTGGGCACGGCTGAGTTTTCCCAAAGGGGATCTTCCAGCTAGTACGCGCCACGGACGCTCACTGACAATCGGTTTATAAGACCGGGCGGCTTTCCAACCCTTGGCTCAACCGTTTGTCAGACGTGGCAGGCACGGAATAGCGATAAAAGCCACGCTTCGTGCCGGGCCAGGTCACAACATTGCTCAGTTTGCAAAAACTTTCGAGCCACTCAGGTGACCGGCCATGGATTCGTCGTGAGAGGATCGCAACAGTGCGGCTCTCAGACTTTTGGGCATAACCACCTTAAACGGGTCTATGGACTCGTCGTCAGTGGCTATATATTTCAGCAGGAGCCCGTCATGGCCCAGCAAAATGAATCCGCCGGGGACTCAGCGACACACGCTGTTTCAGCCCCCTAATCGCGCCCGCCGCAGAACAAGCAGCGTAACGGCGCTCCGCGCCTCGTCAAGACGGTTTAACGGCGCCCGCCGCAAAGCAAGCAGCGTATACGGCGCTCCGCCCCTCCGAGACTCGAAACGGATCACTCTGCTGAGCCTTCAGTAGCTCTTCGCTGCCGAAAGCAATTCCCATTCTCCCAAATGGGGGAGTCTGGTATCGCGCCCACTCAGGACCGCAGCAACCGCCGCGTGAGTCGGCGTTACGGGTTCGCTCTCGGCCTCGTGGCCTTCGGAAAGCTCCCCCGCTCGGCCGCTTACCTGGATAGCAGCCAAGGTTTGTCCGCATGGGGACTCACCCTCCTCGCCGAATGGCGGCGAAGCTGCTGTTTCGCCCCCGACGCTTGCATGTGCTAAGGCACCGCGAGCGGCCGTCGCACCGAAATCCAGGTTCTCGGCAGACAACAGGGGGCACGAGATAGCGCGTCAGCTACCACGTAGCGGTGTATTCACCACAAAAAGGGGGTGCCGCCACGGACGGGTGCAGAAGGGTTCCCGTCCACAGAGGCAATGGCCTCCGTGTGCAACGCGGCATCCGCTAAAAGGGACAGCGGGCAAAAGTCCGGCGAAGCAGCCATGTTGCGACGAGCCCGAATCGCGCAGGCGAACTGACTCGCTAAGAGCAGTCAAAAGCTAGAGCTTTTGATACCGCGTTGGGCGCCAGTGTGGTGTACACGTATCCCGAAGGAGTACGGCCACCAGCGTGGGTTCGGTCTTAGCGAGCCGCAGGGCACGCGTTAACCGTCGCCGTGGCGAGAACACGATACTGCTCAAAGTCGCAACACTTTATTGTGGCAACACCAAACGCAGTACAGCCCGTTGCAAATAGGCGCGGCGGGAAAGCAAGTAGGCTTATCCACGCCACGGGCACAAAGTACTACACAGGGGTGCCACGAGCACGTCTCCGCGGTAAAGGTGATCCACGGAGACACCGGGACAAAGGGCCCGGTTGCTCGAGCGAGGGCAAAGGCGCTCGCGTTGGCTTCGGAGGGAGACGGGTCGGCGTAGCTAGGCCACGCACTAGGACACCGTACTGCCCTTCGGCCGTGAGTACGCAGCGGGGCAACAAAAGGTGAGCGTTCGCCTCGGGCGCGAGGCGCCGTCGGCGAAGTCCGACGAGTCCCGAGCGACGGGACTCGACGGACGGAAAAGAATGCGTGGCTCACCGTTTGAAGTCCCGGACTGTACTCCGCTCCCGACGCAGCGCGCGAAAACCTCTCGGGAGGCTCCCCGCGCGGCGCCACAGTCAACATCCGCTACCGGGTGAGGGAGTTAAACATCACTCCGCCCTTCCCAGCGCGGCAGACAGCAAAGGAGAGCAGACATGTCGGGACATGAGAATGGCAGAAAGGCGGGAAAGCCCGCGCAAAGGCAGCGGGCCAGCCTCAATTCCCACAATATATATATATTTTGGTCAGCTGAGAATAAAGTCCGACGATTACTCGCAGAAGCACATCGGTCGAGCCTCACGTCACAAGTATAGTAATTGCATCAAACCTCTGTACGTAAAAACTAACTTATATATGCATTCGTTTTTCCCGCGAACAATCACAGAGTGGAATTCGTTATTATTTACTTCACCCTGGTAACGCAAAACGTTCTGATCTTTGTATGCATATGTGTATTTATGTACAACCCCTCCTGCTTGGACCACGGTATGCAGTATTGTACAACATAAAATAAAAATACTTATTCAATCAGAATATTGTTGTTTAACGAAAGTTTTATATACATGCCACAAATGATCGAGCACTTTATTATTGCGTTGATAACTAAGGTCTCTACAGATGTAAAAGTGCAAAGCCAGTGCATACCATCTCCACGAGGCCTCGTCGTCTTCCACCTTGTCCGTTCCTTGTTGTTCTGCCTCAGCCTTTCGCCCGTTACGATTCGACTTGAATTTTATGACACGTTTCTCTTTACGGTCGCCAATATGCTGCCTTACTGAAAAATAAGGAAAAAAGTATGTGCAGTTTGATTTGACTTAAAAGGGTACTGAGACAAAATTACATGGCGGGATAGCGTGTGGAACTTATCCATGTGAGCATGCATCACATATCATCTGCAAATTTAAATATCCACAGCGGATGATGAAGTTCGAAGGTATTTCACATGAATTTTGAAGTTCGTGTGCCGCACCTCGTGGCATTGGCGCCCTTGATACTGGAGAGCGACTCGATGGTGACCGCCCCTACCACCCAGGCGGTACAACTTATGATGACGTCACAGTCGCCATTTCTGTTTTGCTTTTAAGCGCCATTTCTCTTTTACTTTTAAGCGGCTGCTCACGAGTACGTGGCGACGGCGCATACTTTAAAGTCTTTGAGTTTGATGGCAGTGCTTTACCATTTCCTGTTCGAAAGGACTTGATGCGGACCGTGCGGAAGTGCGTCACAGTTCTGTGAGCTTACGTGGTCGAGTGTTGCGCACGCTAGGTGGGGATAGTTGCACCCGGCCGCCTCTTGTTTTTGCAGCTTTCTCAAACCGAAATGGGTCTGTATTGAGGAGCCTGTAGTTAATTATCTGTCGCGCGCTGCAGCAAACAATGTGTCATGTTATGTCTAACAGGCCCCCGGCAACACATTGCTGCAGAAAAAAAAGAGGCCAAATTTTTTGTCGTCACTCATTTAACATCGCTATGGATGAGTGAACGGCGGAGTGGTAAAATGAATCGTTTACCAAGCGTGATGCGCCACTAACTGACCCAAACACCTACTCTGCTGAACCATAGGAGCTGGTCGCATCAGCGCGCCTTTCCTCCGCTTTCTCCAACGCTTAGCGTGCCCTTCCTCCTCGCTCACCGGTACCACATGTGCTCGAGCACGTGCTACCATTGGTCAACGCCTTTCACTGGCACGCTCTCTCCTCCTCTCCACGCGATCTGCTCCTCTACCTCCATGGCTTGGCTTGGCTCCTCCCTAGCGAGCTTCGACCTCTCCCGTTTGTCTACCAGGTTATACAATAGGCTTTCCACTCACCCACTTAGCGTTACCCATGCTCCCCCGCTAGTAAGGCTTCACCGCTTTCGCTGCTGGCCTAGAAAGTGCGGACAACGGATCCCCAGGCATTTACCTAGGTCCAAATTGAACGCATACGTAATAACTCGACATATTTAGAAAAAGGCCAAGGTTCTCTTGAAACCAATTACTTGCACAGCGCAGTGCATCATCGGCAGTCAACTGGCTCACTTTTTCAATGCGCCATTGCTGCTGGATTAACTTACTTTTTTTTTACTACACCGTATTCCGGATCCGACTACATTACTCGCTGAAAGAATGAACCGTTCAAAGGACGAAGGGCAATGGAGAATAGTGGTGCACACAATGTCTGCGCTCCGCACTTATCTGATGTCAAGATCTTTGGAAGAAGCGGGGGCAAGCTGGAAAGTGATATCATTGAGCCCTATTATATATCAGCGTGCAGGATGACAACGGCAGTTGGATGTAACGCTGACGCATGTGTCCGCAGTACATCCATTTCTTTGATGCAGGAGAAACGTTGCTCACTTTGACGTTTAATTAAGCTGTTTAAGCCGTGAACCGAAAACGTGAAATAAAAAAAAAGAGATATGCCTAGCAAGCGTCCCGACATTGTGTGCTCCTGTGCCGGTAAAATTGTAAACGCTCTCACCGAGGTTGATCTGTGACTGTGCAGAGGCTGTTGATTGACAAAGGTGCATGGATTGCTGAATGATGATGATGATGTTCCTTGGAATATTGGCACCTACCCACTTAACAGCGAGCAGCAAGACTAATAATGATGATGATCACATAAGGCTTGAAAAGTAACCACGATGCAGGGAGATAATCAAATATCGAATTATCGGTCGTATTTTTGAAGGATTGCATCGAAAAATCGCAACTTGAAAGAGAGGAGTGGTCTGTACGTGAAATGTGAGACGATAGAGATATCTCTGCATGCAGGATCAACAATTAGATAAAGTTAAACTATAAGTGAACAATGCAGAGTTGCCATATAGTGTGTTTTTCCTGTGCTCTAACCACTATCAGTTACATTGTTTGGTTCATAAAGCCTTATATAGTACTTATACAGCAACATTACAAAGAGGAAGAAGATGAAAAAAAGTGAGTCGTGACGGCCTATATATATCGGCCGATACCCCACAGTGGGCATGATCCACATGAGAAGGTGAACAGGAACATCATCCGCGCGCCCGATTCTTGGTCGATTCCCCTGAATGGGTAGGTGCCAACCATCCAAGGAGTGCCACCATCATCGTCATAAGAGGAAAAAAAAAAGAGTAGAACAACTGTCCTCTTTTCTTACACCAGTATTCGCATGCCTTACCCCTTGTTTATGATGAATCCGTATCAACTAGCTCGATTTTATGATGATTTGTTGGACATATAAATTTTCAGCTGTTCTTTGTTCCAGTGGATCTCAGGAGTCAGATGGCTATCATCCCGGGCGGGCAAGGATGCTTCTATGGTTTTCCTGATTTTTCGTGGTTGATACGCCTTCCCTAATTCCCCAATGTATAGGTAGCCGACCGGATGTCTCTCTAGTTAACCTCCCTGCCTTCTTCCTTTTTGTTGCTTCCTTCCTTCATAATTTAAAAGTTGCATTAATTAATCAATTAAATTGTTTATTCATTCTGGCTGCTGTGGTGGCCCAGTTGTTATGGGGCTCAGCTGCGGATCAAAGACCTAGCTCGATTCTGGCCGCGATGGTCGCATTTCGACGGAATACGACGTCCTTCACTACGGCCCAACGCCTACTACGGCGTCTCATAGATCGAGTAGGTTTAGGACGTTAAATCCCACAAAATGAAGCAGCCAATAAACCAGCCAATCAACCAATCGTTAGTTTTTTCATTCAAACCAACGTCGTTGTTACTGACAATATCGATTGTCAGAACCAAAGCGACAAGATAGCCTCTCGGAAATTAGAGGAACGAGCACACACAAGTACTTAGCGGTATAAGCAAACTACCATGTGTATGAAAAATCTGACTGGGGTCGCATTAAGAACGACGTCGGCTAAAGCTAAGAGCGACAATCGTTTCAGCTTGAAACACTAACTATCGCCGTAATAAAGCCAATTGAATTATGTGACCGTAATAGAAATATGTTTCGATCCAAATAAACTGGAAGCAATTCGGTAATTCATTACTCCGATCAGACGCGCATCCTGCGCAGATATCGTGATAGCCGCGCCGGGGAAATCTACGAAGCATTTGCAATTCATTCTATTGGGCCATCATGTGTAAGCGCACCATCGGTCGTACTAACTGACAAGGAAATGACCTCTGCAGGCGTTTGTTGCATTGTCATGGACTAATTGGGACGCATGCGGTAAGCCTCCCCCCCTTTTTTTTTCTTTGTTATTTCCGTATCCCCATAAGCGTATTTATTTGCACTTACGAAATAAACGCTCGTGTCGGTAACCCCAAGTCCCGCCAGTGTATCTTGTCCCGTGCGTCCTCGCTATCCCCTGGTTTGACTTCGAGCTTGTTAAAATACACGCCTGCTGGTCTTTTGCCAACGAATTCAACATACATCATCAGCAAGCTTAACACGAACGCTGTGGACTACTTTACTCTCACGGATGCCGGTCGTGAAGCACTGTGCGTTTTGACCGCCATACTACTTCGCTATGCTCGGATGGTATGTCGGCATGCATGGTTAACATCTCGGCTACAGAATGCAAAGCTACGCGGCGCTAGTTGCAATCAAACAGTTTCAGGACACGTTGCAGAGCGTTCGTGTTAAACGTCCTAACAACAGTACATCCACGGCCACTGTCGCGATACATCTATATAATTAAGCAATGCACAACTAAGCAAAATACCGCCCAACTAATTTAGATCTGTATAATTCCTATAGCTACGTTTTAACAGTGACCGCACAAATCGCATTCAAAACTCCCTCCAAATAGAAAACATGGCGTCTCTGTCAGGTGGCAGCACGTAACCTGCTCATTCAATAAAGCAAATGTTACCTTCCTCTACAATCTTTCTTGCCACACTGATCTCTCTCCCTGTGCCCTCTCATTCCTACTTTCAGTTTTGAAAATCGTCCGAGCGAGCAGACAGGTGGAGGGAAACGAAGGTGTGCGAGCGGCCGCGCTGCGTCCCGTCTGTTTGTTGAGTATCCTCACGACTGCTGCAGGTAAGTGGCGCTTGCCCGTACAATTTTGTTCGCAAAGCAGAGGCACGCCATTGTCTGAAACGCAGCAGCGATTGTGGATTTGCGCGGTCAGCTGTGTACTGCACGACGCAGTGGCAGTTCAAAGGTCGCGCTGGTCGTTTGCCCCGGTGTTCGAAGAACTCTCGCTTTCCACCCAGGCACCTTCGTTCGGCGGGCTTTTCCGGACCTGCCGACTTCGAAGAACCATGGCTCGCCGCAGGTCGACGTCCTCTGCGTCATGTAAGCGGCCCTCTCGAACTACCTCGAACAGGCTGAACAAAGAGCGCGCCTCAAGATCGACAAAGAAACGAACGTGATCGAAAGAGTTTCACGTGTAGGATACGGACTGCATTGAGGAGTCGCGCTGGCGGCGTAGATGACTTTAGGAAGCATATTGATTAATACTTATGCCAGAAAAAACTTAAGCCCCTTAGGTGCATTCTCCGATCGTTTGTCGGCCTTTTTTCTTTTTTTTTCTGGTGACCGCGTGCTGACGGGCAACGCAAATCTATTTTTCCTGCTCTGATTTGCTGCTTCAATCACGCTTTAGCGTGATTCAGAGGGCCCGCAAGCGTGCATCATTTTATAGCACGCCTTTGGCACACAGCCTGCCGACCTCTCACATTTAATAAAAACGGCTCAGTGAGTCGACGATTCGCGCTGTGGTTCCGCGCGTTCTGCCCATGTGCCCGGTCGTTTAGTGAACATTGCCAAGCAAATTAAAGCGTGCTCACGTCAAGACGTACAACGAGGCGCGCATATTTGAACTTTTCCAAGGTTGAGCATACTCGGCAATTTGTGTTGTCTATATTCCTGATAGCAAGGCGCAGTCAGTACGCTGGTTGACGTACTTTGTAAATGAGAGCCCCTATTTCAAGGATGAAAGTGCAGTTATATCAATAACTGAAGTACCACTAAACTGCATTACTGACTGTAAGTACATCATTGATCTGCGCAAGCTATCAAAAAGAAAAAAAAAAGAAAAACGTTGTTTGAGTGCACTCAGTGGATATTGCTAAGGTGTTGCATTTTGTAGGCCCCGTGGATTGTATTATGAAAGCACAGTACAAAAGTTAACAGCTTCTGAATCGGACAAGCTAGACCTAATTGAGTCAAGGGTTGCAATTGAGTCAAGGCTAGTTGCAGAACTCTTTAGTCATAGTGCTCCCTTGTGTTTGAGTCGCCTCAGTCCAGATGGAGCAAGCATAGAGTTTCCTAAAATTGCGATCGTCCAGTGACCGTGGGAATGACGGGTAGTACACAGATTTGCCTAGTCTTCGTACTTGCGGGCCTCGAACGCACTTGTGGCTTCGTTTATTGCTGTGTTTGGGCATTGTTTCTATTGAAAGAATGGACAGTTATAAACTTTGCAGCCCGATTTGAAATGGTTTGCCTAAAGGTTAAAGTAATGGAGTGGAACTGTTGAAAATTTGTTGATTGTTATTTCGTGACAAAGCAACTTCAAGCCACTTGAAGCTGACTGGAGACAGAAGTACAAAAATTAGACAAATGTATGTACTACCCATCATTCCCATGTTAGCTGAAATGCTGTGCGTTGTAGCTCCCATAGACACTAGCGCCAGAGTTCGCTCTAGTGTATCTATAGGAAACTCTGTGGGAGCAAGCTTATAATGCTGCCTTTGTTTAACGCAGCATTCTTAAGCCATTTTGTCTTCTAGAAACAGTTTGTCACTGGTAACTTCGGTAACTTTTGTAGAGGAAAAACTATTGATGCAGACCAAACCAATATGCCTTGTAAAAGAACCTTCTTGTTAGTAGTGCGTTGGGTACCTTAGTCAACAGATTTAGTACAAGTGAGCCTTGCAAGCTGTGGAAATAGCATTTCTTTGACAAGTAATGATTGCCACAAATTACTGCAGAGGGATGTTGAGCTGCTCGTCATACTTGAAGTCTCTACGACCATTTTGCTGCGTGGTGGGGGTGTTGTGTTCTATTATTGTACTTTGTCCACCCGAATCCGATTTGTCCTTTATCTGTAGCAAGCTTCTTTAAGCTAAGTACACAATATCCTGCCCAGCCAAAGCAGTAGACCTCAATTACTTGGGTCAGTGTAATATGCTAAAGCTCTGTTCAGCTGTGCTTGTGCACACCAGGTATACCTTACTCAGACTCATTTTTAATATGTGTTATATTGCATATTATGTTATATATAGTTTTTAATATATGTAAAGAAATTCTTCGCTTTGTCTTTCTATGTGCTGCGAAGGGCGTGCATGTTTCTTTGCCTTAGTCGCACAAAAAGCATTTTGCTTTGATCATTGCTCTGTGGTTTGATTGATTCATTCAACACTTTGCAGAAGGAAGAAGCACCACATGTACAACCCGAAATCTGGCTTGAGCTTCAAAATGCATACTTTTTAAAGGGTGGAGAGGCCACCTTGAGATTCTCACACCATACATTGTAACGTCATAGAAATTTGAAGGCGTCTTTTGGATCTTGCATAGCTTCTAATGGATGAAACTGAAGTACATTGTATTCTATGGTTGGGCCATAGGCCTAGCATATGAAGTTTCTGAAAATTTCATGAAGCCATTGTCACGAAAATAGGAAAAATGCGTTGTGGAATTTCATACGTCATGTGCAGAAATTACGACGTGAAATTTAAAAATGAAACTTCGACCTTGATTTTCTCCGCTAACATTGAACTCATAACAGTGAAACTTGGGACGTTAGAGTTCTCGCAGAGTGCAGTTTATCAGTCTAAAACAACTCATCGTTTCTCTTTAGTGTCCCTCTAACGTGGTCTGTTATAGAAAATATGGCAAGGAAGCAAGGTTTATCGTACCAATATCTATCGTCAAAGAGTGCTAACATGTCTATTCTGGATATGGTCCACTAGCCGTGCACTGCACCGTCCCAGAGCTGACACTTGAAGACTATGACCCCAAGCCCGATGAGGAGCTGATCTGCGTGATCTGCCACTCTGTGCTGAGTGAGCCTGTCGAGTGCCACTGCCGGCACGTCTTCTGCCGCCGCTGCATCTCCGAGTGGGTCCGCAAAAACAACAGCTGCCCCGTGTGTCGCAAACGGGCCGTCTCGGCCTTCATGCCCACCCTGCCTCTTGTGCAGAACATGGTCAACCGTCTCAAGGTTAGCAATCAATCGATCTTTGTATTTTCACAACACACTCTACTCTACAGGATAAGGAATGAAGTGTAAATTTGAGTGCTCTTTTTTTTTGTTAGGCACAATATTAATGAGAACTAACAATCATGCCAGTGAAAGGAAGTATGGGGATACTATTGGAAGTAATTGTAATGTATTTGTGAAGAAAAAAAAGTGGACAAAGAGATACCTCAGGGACTAAACCTGTGACCTTCGAATAACGCATCCGATGCTCTACCAACTGAGCTACCCCGGCGGCTATCCCCCTATTCACTTGGTAGGGCTATATGTGCGTGGGAGAGTCAGTCAGCGCCGCCTGTTGCCATTATGGCGAGTGTGGGACACTCATTTGTTAGGATATACTAATGGAGTCCCGTAGTGTGAAGAGAATAGGAACCTCCTGTACAGTATAAACATAAATATTTGATTGGGAATAACAATAACAAAGGTGGTATGATCGCAAGATTTTAAATAATGATGTAGAGATACAAGCAAATGACGATATTAATGTCAACATTGTATCAGCAGTAAGTTAAGCTAAGTACAAATGGCAGCTTGAAGACAGAATAACAGCTCGAGAGGGAGAAAAAAAAGATAATACAAAAGAATGAATGTTGCATAACGAATTCTTTTCTCATTTCATGGCTAAATCTCTAGGTTTTTCAAGACTATTTAATAATTTTGATTGTATTCTATAATGATATGGCTGCAAGATGAGCCTCTGTTTGCCATAATTCGTGTGCACTTTGGGCAGAATGAAGTTGTTATTGAGTTTAGTTTGTACTGAGTTGAGATTGTGAATAAATTAATGCTGTCTCTGTTCAGTACATACTGCACAAACAGTAAGTGCTTACTTAAAAAAAAAAACAAAACAAACAGGAAAGGGGAGCACTAGAAGTTTTTGTGACATTTTTTTACTCTACTTGATAGCCTTATGGCTGATCATTCCAAAATTGAATCGTAAGTGCTCTTTTATATAGTTTATTAATGCTGGCATTGCTCATTGTGACCAATTTTAGAATCACTTCAGAATGCCCACCCAAAGTTATAACAAACTAGCACCCCACAGTGGGAGAGTGCCTAACACGACGTGCACTGAAGCATTGGTGATGTTGATCGTGCAGTTCTCAAATAGGTTCCCCGTGCACAAGAAAGAATGGAACGATGTGAAAGTGTGTTCTCTAAGGAAAAAGAGAGGCATTCCTGGCGTAAGCAGTGAAAACCACATTCAGAGAAGCCCAACAGCAGTGCGAGTGGGTGGGGAGGAACAATAACTTGATGGGTGCCTTTCGTGGTTTTGTGTGCACCCTACGAATCTTCTGCAAGATCCATAATAATACTTTCTTTTCTTGTGGAATGGTGCGCGGTGCATCCGTCCATGTCATGCTGGTGGGGACTTCGCAAGGTGCTGCCAACCCAAACGAGCACTCTCATCTACTTCAAAACCAAATTAGGCTACCTTGAAGGCAACAATCGCTATTAATAATTTGCCAGAAGAGCCTCCGTGCACGGGACAGCGAACCACTACAACCACTGAAACATCTTGAAAGTTTCGGTTTTGGTGTCGGGAGCCGTGTGACACAAATAAAATTGCGCAAGTGATTGTGTTCTTCATTTTTGAGCTCTGAGGAACAGGGCCCCGAATATTGGTGTTCAGCTATAATAAGTCTACATTCCTTAATTCGCTGAAAGCCGTTTGGAATTTGTTGTACAGTCCTGCAGCGGGCTGCCAAAACATCACACATTCCACCAGGGCGCTCTCCCTTCACCTGTTGGCAGTTTTCCCCTCTCGTTCTCTTGGGACATTGCATTCCGTTTCATTAAGAACATGTATAAGATTGTATCATTTGCAGCTTTCATCATGTAAAGAGCTGTGTGGGGCACCTCCTCCTGGCAGTTCTGGGCTGTGACGGGATGTGTGAAAAGCATGCGTGACCTAGTAGCCTTGCTGACAATGTCAGAAACTGCAACTGTCGCAAGATGTTGCCCCGTAGAGCAAAACCGGGCTGCTCGTGCACTCCGCACAGACGTGGACATGGCTGCACGGGGCTCTTTCTGTGTAGGATTTGTTTCAGGGGCTTTCTGTCTGTAGTCCTGTGTTTAGTACTTGCTTGCACATAATTTATTCTCATTGCTTGCAGCATGCATTTCGTAAAGTAAATCTTTCATTTTTTATTGCCAGCTAGAAATCTTACTGAAATGTCCTTTTAATGCCATGTTAAAACCAGCAAATGTTTATACATAGACAGCAATGTTTTTAGTATTTATTCTACTCTCTTATTTTATTTTTTTTTATCGTGGGCCCAACAGGTAAAGTGCCGAAATTCTGGATGTGATGCCCGTGTAGCTGCAGAAAGTTTTGCGAACCACGTGAATTCGTGCGAGTTTCACGAGGTCGGCTGTCCGCACGAGGCATGCGAGCACCGTTGTGCACGTCGCGAGCTGGAGTCTCACGTAAGGCAGTGCCCACTTCGTGAAGTCACTTGCGAGCAAGGCTGTGGACTTGTGCTCACTCGGGACCGTCTCAAGACCCACAGCTGTGTGGAGGAGCTGAAGCGTAAGCTAGATGGTAGGTACCGGTTTCTGCTGCTTAAGCTCACCTTTTTTAAAATTATTTTTTGGAAGCAAGTGCAAGCTTGCATAATATGCCATTTCCTTTCTTCAGTAAGAGGTATCCAGCAGCAAATAAAATGGGAAATAGTAATAAAATAATGACAATCATGGCAATCATTACTTCTTAGTTGTTTCACCGAAAGGTCTTGAGAGAAATTGACAGTACAAAGAAGCCGTTCTTCAAAACAGTGGAAGTAGGGAATAAATGGTCAACTGAATGGACTGGCATGCAACATGCTTTTCAACGAAGTTTTTTGGCACGCGCTTATTTTTGCCTGTTGCACCTCTGCTTGCAGTGACAAGGCTGCCAGCATTTGTGAGTGTGCAAACGATTGCCCGTCTCAGCAGAGTTCTGTTGCAGTAATCAAAGGCAAAACGAGAGAAACTGCCAGTCTGTCAGCGTAGGAATTGAATGTAGAATTGTTAGTTTGGAATTGTCGATTCTAATCATTTCGAGTAGTAATGGGTTTTGTAACGTCTCTGGATTGGCGGTTGATTTCATTATACGAGGGTTTCTGCTTGCTGCCATTTTCGCTTTGTACAGTTGACTTTTTTCCCCCAATATTTTGCCAAGTGGTGTTGCAATGTGAAGTGAAAGCAGTCACCGGCACTTAAGAGTCATTTTTTTTATTTTGTTGGAGAGAAATCGGGACAATCGCAATGCTCTGTATAATGGGAAGTCGAATCACAGAAAAAGCAGGCGTTTGTATAAACAACCGGTTTTTTTAGACAAGTCAAACTTTTTGTGGTTGAATTTCGTATTTGTGATGTGTATGTCACCATCACTGTGAAGATCTTGGCCTTCTGGTGCTGGCTGTGCTGTCCTTATTGGCCTGTGCTTCCTTCGGTGTGCGATGTTGTTGTTGAAGTCAAGGGCTATGTCATGAGGAAGCAACATCACGAAGATGGGACAGAACATTGCATAGTAGTCATCTTCCGATACCGGGAGAGTCTTGAGGGCATGTCTCTGTAATTGCACTGTGTAGTACAGGCATCGAAGTCCTCGAAGGTCTTGGGAGGATTGAGCTGGTTGCATGTCGTTGAGTAGCTGCATACGAGCCTGACTGATTGCATCAGTCTGGGCAAATCGTTGTTTCAGAATGTCCACGGCTTCGCAGTAGCAGCTTGTGGTTGCTGGTCAAGATGCAATGTGAATAAATGAACCAGTCCTTGTTGTAGGATAACTTGATTGAACTGTTCCCAAAAAGGTGTCTAGCTCTGAAGCTTCCATGTGTTGTTTTTCATGCTTTTCTATGCCATGGGTTGCTGATGTCACATGTGAGTTCTAAACTTGAGGGATATTTCAACATGTACGATGTCATAGAATATGTAGTGCATTGAAAAAGCTAAGCTCTCTATTATTGCTGTCAAGTGCTTCTAGATCAAGACGTTTAAAGCATTCCTGTTGTCAAGCATTCATATATATAAATCATATCACAGTTTAGGGACTTCATACATACATACATACATACATATATACATACATACATACATACATACCGTATATACTCGCATAATGATCGCACTCGCGTAATGATCGCACCCCTAAATTTTGTTGTCTAAATGCGATTTTTTTTTTCCCCCGCGTAATGATCGCACCCCGAACTTGCCGCATCGATATGTCGTGTGCCAAGTCTAGCCGATGATCATCGCCTTTATTATCTGTCGAATGAAACTCGCCAACTGCACGCACCAAACATATTCTTAATTTTTGCTCGCCGTTGGCGGAAACATGCCATTTAGGATTGCAGTAAGGGCAAAAGCAGCAGTCTTCACTGAATGCCCGCCATGTGTTTTTATGTCTGTGGCAGCTGAACGTGCCTATCATTGTTTCTGTGATCTGAAAGCAGGCATCACTACGCTAATGCTGTAAATTTGCTGATTTAAATGAAAGCATTCTTTATTTAAATTGAAGAAACTGTTCTGACGCGCGTGACGTACTCAGAACCTTCATAACTGACGAAAAGAAGAAAAAAAAAAATGCGGTCGCTTTGCTCTGTTAGCCGCCATGTTTGTTTTGACATCCCGCACTGTTACCGCGGCGGTCGCCTGTTGGTTGACTTGTGTTCATCCCGCAGCAATGGTTTTTTTTTTCTTAGACCACGTTTTTTTTTGTGTGTGTATGTGTGTGCTTTGTGATCGTCTTTGTAGGTGTTCTGTGATCCTCTGTTGAAGAGCCGTTTCGCCATGGGGCGGTATGCAAGCTTTACTGCTGTGTTCAAGCTGAAGGCGCTTGACTACGCGTTAGAGCACGGCAACCGCGCTGGGGGCAGACATTTCGGCGTCGACGAAATCCAGATCCGATATTAGAAAAACAGCGCAACAAGCTCATGGTTACTAACAGCACGCGACGGGCTTTCCGCGGACCCAAATCTGGCAAGTTCCCGAATATTGAAAATGCAGTCCTCAAATACATGAAGGACATGTGCAAGGACGGTTGTGCAGTGTCGTTAGACATGATACGGATGCAGGCGCGCACAGTTTCCAGGCGGCTGGGAATAGCCACAAAGGACTTCCGCGCCAGTTCCGGCTGGACGACACGCTTCATACAACGGAATGGACTGTCGCTGAGGCGGCGGACGTCGTTGTGCCAGCGACTTCCATCCGCATACGAAGACAAGGTGATCGATTTCCACAGGTTCGTCACGAGGATACGCTAGAAAAACGGCTTCCTGCTGTCACAGATAGGCAATGCCGACCAAACGCCGTTGACGTTTGACATGCCTCGAAGCACTACTGTGAACGAGAAAGGTGCTCGAAGCGTTCTCCTGAAAACGTGTGGTGTGGAGAAGCAGCGATGCACCGTGATGCTCGCAGTGACAACAGACGGGTGCAAGCTGACGCCGTATGTTATTCTGAAACGGAAAACAATTCCGAAGGGAAACTTTCCCCGTGGCATCTACATCCGTGCTCAAGTGAAAGGGTGCATGACAGCAGACCTCATGGTTGATTGGATCAAGACGGTTTGGGGGCGAAGAGCACGAGCAGTTCTGCTTCCTTCACTTCTTGTGCTGGATAGCTTTTGAGGCCATCCCGTTGACATTACCGAGCTGAAGGAGTGGCGCACGGACGCTTCGGAGTCTGAGTGAACGTCAGGGGGTCAGAGAGGTAAAAAATAAAAGGGCAGTGTGCTATGCATGTAGCTCTTGCGTAATGCGTGCATTTTATTACAAAGGTAAGCCCTAATTTACTTTCATCTTTGGTTATGTTCATGAGAGTTATCGTAAGAATTCTGATTAGCGACTTTTTTGCGCTTTCAGTGCTCGGAATATTTTTTTTTACGGAAAATTTCCCCGCGTAATGATCGCATCCCGAAGTTGGAGACAATTTTTTTGAAAAAAAAAAAGTGCGATCATTATGCGAGTATATACGGTACACACGCACGCACACACACACACGCACACATACATACCGTAATTACTCAAATCTAACGCGCACCTTTTTTCTGGCTAAGCGAGTACATAAATTGCTTGCACGTTAAAATCGAGTACGAAAAAAAAAAAAATGAATACGGTCATTCTATTGCCATCGGCATTTCAAAATGGCCGCCCCCTACGTGCGTCAGCATGGCGCGTCAGCCATTTCTGCCTATGTGTTTCCCATGTGCAGCACTTCGTACGTGTGCTGAGGAGTTCGTCATCTTGGTGTGCATTAGCATCGACGGCATGGAAGGGCCGACTCCAAAAACTCGACGAGTGCACCACGATGCCGCTTTTAAAAGAAAAGTCATCGCGTGTGCCGAAACGGACGTAAATCGGGCTGCATCACGGTCGTTCGGAGTTCCCGAAACGTGCGTGGGGGACTGGCGGAGACAAAAGAAGAATATTGTCGACAGCAAAGATTCACGCAAAGGTTTCATTGGATCACAGCAGGGTCGGTTTCCAGCTGCTCGGCGAGTATGTGAGCAGTGAGCGGCACAGCGGCCCGTGACGACAGAACTGCTCCAAGTGCAGGCTATGCAGTTAGCTTTAGAAAAAGGGCTAATGCGGAGCCAGTTTAAAGCGAGCAGGTGCAGGCCAACTAACTTTATGAAGAGGAAAGGCTTTTCCCTCCGAAGGCGAACGGGCATATGCGAAAAGTTTCCGAAGGAGTACGATGAAAAGCTTCACAGTTTTCAGAGGTTCGTCCTAAACTTGCAGCACAACAACGGCTACCTGCTTAGGCAAATCGGGAATGCCGATCAGACGCCTCTTTACTTCGACATGCCTGGCACCACAATCGTCGAGAAGAAGGGGGCGAAGCAAGTTCGCGTGCTGACATCGGGCCACGGTAAAACTAGAGTGACGGCAATGCTTTGTTGCACGTCAGATAGGCACAAGCTTCCCCCGTACCTCATATTTAAACGGAAGATGCTCCCGAAAGGAGTCTTTTTCCCGAGTGGTGTGATCGTGTGGGCCAACGAGAAAAATGGGTGCGCGTTGCAATTGATGTCTTACTTTTTTTTTTCGTCGTGGAAACCGGGTGCGCGTTACAATCGAGGGCGGGGTAGAATCGAGTAAATACGGTATATACATACACACACACATACATACACACACATACATACATACATACATGCATACATACATACATACATACATACATACATGCATGCATGCATGCATAAAGTAGAACCTTGTTGGTACACTCTCGCTTAGTGTGATTTCTTGGCTCCTACGTTCGCAATCACAAAAATTTAATTGAGCTGATTCGGGTTGTATGATTTAGATTGTGTTTATTTCTAGTGTTTTTTTTTTCTCGAAATGTATGAACAAGGTTCTTATTATTTATATTGCCACGTGCCATGCCGTTCTGCGCAGCTGCCACTATAGAGCGACAGCCGTCGCGTCATTTAGATAGGCTAGAGCGGACTGCGATTAACTTCCGATGGGCCCATCGTATGAGACAGTGCAGTATCTGATGATAGATGTGCGCATGTTCTGTGTTGTCTTTTCAGCGCTTAAAAACTGGCAGCGCATAAGCTGTGGGTTGTTCTTTTGGTGGAACGGCAACTGTGCATAGGCACGCCGCTCCGATCCTGTTAGTTTTCCTTTTGTGTCCTAAGCGTGAGGCACAAGTACGCCTCCTTACTAATAAACCTTGTCTGCCGCACCCTCGTCTTCTGTGGCTTCTAGTGACGACGACGCACGTGACAATATACACACAATATATTGGAGCTGTCTATCGAATCCGTTGATAAAAATTTTCTATGATAACGTCAACCAAAGGCTCTGTCTGTGTCTACCTATTTTTTCAGATGCCACGTCAGAGCGTGATGACTGGAAACAGAAGGCTGAGGAAACTACACATGCTCTGAACAGGCTTCGCGACACATTACGCCGATTGGGTGACTCGGTGGAAGGCCTGCAAAACAGCCTCGGTGACCTTGGCACGCGGCTGCGCTGCGCTGAGACAATGGCAGCGTCTGGCCAGCGTGGCCACCGATCAGCAGTGGCGCTGCGGACAGGCCGCACTACGCGCGACAGCTTTGTTAGTGGCAGCAGCTTGTATCCAGGTGTTCTGTTCGGTACGCGAACAGCGCGACTTCTGGACGAAATCGAAAGTGACTCCGACCGTAGCTGGAGTCCACACTCCGAAGGATCACGCGAGTCACTCGAGATCTTTGTTGATTTTAATGCCTGAGCATTGCAGTACTTTCTAGTTAACTTAGAAAGCTTCTTGCAGTTTGTGCTCAGTAGATTTGAAGTGTTGGTTTCATCAAACTTTTTCAGTTGTACGTGTTTGTTTGCTAAGTGACAGTTAACAGAGTTCAGTCTATTTTTTCTGTTTGGTTTTTCTGTTACCACTTATCGTTTGTGACTTAGCAGACTCCTCTGACAATACATATTTGTTGCTCCTGTTTGGCTGCCCTGCAGGGCAGGGATTCTACTGACTTTTCAATGAAATTTGCCAAACGACAAGCCAAGAATCGTCATTTTTCTTCAAATGTCGTCGAAAATGTTGCCACTCTTCATGTCTGTGGCATGTCAAGTTATACAAATTGCTAATTATGTATATCCCAGTGCAGTACAGTGCCATCCATAACCCTTCAATTATACTGACGTTTTTTAATGCCAGTCGCATCACTCACTTCACCAAGGGAGGGCTTAGTCGGCTTGGAGCCCTTTCACCCACTTCACCATTTGCACCAGCAGCGTTCCTGAACGCTAGCATCTCATCAGACAAGTTTAAGATGGTTTCAGTGGTAGCATATACAAGGTGAAGCAGCCCCTACAATTTTATGTCACCATGGGCCCTTCGATTTGGCAAATTTGGTGAAAAGCAGCCACCAGTGGCAAACCTGTCGCCGGGTTGGTCTATTGGCTACGGTACTCAACTCCTGACCCGAAGGTTGCGGGAGCGTACCCCGGCTGCGGCAGCTGCATTTTCAGTAGAGGCGAAAATGCTGTAGGCCCGTTTGCTCAGATTTGGGTGCACGTTAAAGAACCCCAGGTGGTCAAAATTTCCGGAGCCCTCCACTATGGCGTTTCTCAATCATATATTAGTTTTGAGACGTTAAACTCCACATATTAAGCAATCATTAGCTCTTGTTTGGCAGCCTCATAACTCCAAACTTTGACTGAGAGTAACTTTGGATGCATTTGGGCTTTTGGCTTAGGAAATATTTCTAATTTATCTAAACACAGAACACCACTTGGTTATTTTTTGTGCAAAACGCAAGACACACTGTTGCAAATAAAAAATCACCGCTCCAGTACTCGGCACTAATGGTTAACCCTGGAACATGCGGTCACGGTGTTCAGCAATGGATTCAACCTGACGTGACACTAAAGTCTTTCACAATTATTGGTTGTATGTTTGTGCTTTTTAATGAAGTTAGACACACGCTTGGTCTGGATTAATTGCAGTGTTTATTTCAAATGCTGCACATTTTGCCTCGCATGATCACGGTCATGGAGATGTGCAATGCAATAATCACAGTGGTTGTTCTTGAATCATAGGTGGTCACAGAGGTTGCAGTCGCAGCCAAAGTGCCACTGGAGGAACCCCCGCAGAAAGTGGGCATTCGCCCCGGCGTTCATAATCCTGCAACCATTACGTTGACCCTGTAATGTCACTTGTTCGGCATATGCACTGCGGCGTGTCACTTATAGGCAGAAAGAAATTAGGCGCCTTTTTTTTTTTTTATCTTTAAGAACCATGATTCATTGTTCGGCGCAGTGTTGTTACGAGTGTTCGACATCGCGAAATAACTCTGCGGCGTGGCTTTCAGGATTCGCCAACCCCCGTGCTTGCATTCTTGTTCCAGATTTAGTGCGGCTTCGAAGGCTGCCCTATCATCGGTTTGCAGTTGGTGCTGGCACTCGACCTCCCTGGCCTGTTTTTGTGCCAGGACTGCACCATCAATTTGGCGAATGCGAGCTCTCTTACGTTTCCACTGTCTGCGCTCTTCTAGAGTTGTCGCTGCGGCGGCTGCATTTCTGATGGAGGCTGAAATGTTGTAGGCCCATGTGCTCAGATTTGGGTGCACGTTAATGAACCCCTGGTGGTCGAAATTTCCGGAGCCCTCCACTATGGCGTTTCTCATAATCGTATATTAGTTTTGAGACGTTAAACTCCACATATTAAGCAATCATTAGCTCTTGTTTGGCAGCCTCATAACTCCAAACTTTGACTGAGAGTAACTTTGGATGCATTTGGGCTTTTGGCTTAGGAAATATTTCTAATTTATCTAAACACAGAACACCACTTGGTTATTTTTTGTGCAAAACGCAAGACACACTGTTGCAAATAAAAAATCACCGCTCCAGTACTCGGCACTAATGGTCAACCCTGGAACATGCGGTCACGGTGTTCAGCAATGTATTCAACCCGACGTGACACTTAAGTCTTTCACAATTATTGGTTATATGTTCGTGCTTTTTAATGAAGTTAGACACACGCTTGGTCTGGATTTATTGCAGTGTTTATTTCAAATGCTGCACATTTTGCCTCGCATGATCACGGTCATGGAGATGTGCAATGCAATAATCACAGTGGTTGTTCTTGAATCATAGGTGGTCACAGAGGTTGCAGTCGCAGCCAAAGTGCCACTGGAGGAACCCCCGCAGAAAGTGGGCATTCGCCCCGGCGTTCATAATCCTGCAACCATTACGTTGACCCTGTAATGTCACTTGTTCGGCATATGCACTGCGGCGTGTCACTTATAGGCAGAAAGAAATTAGGCGCCTTTTTTTTTTTTTATCTTTAAGAACCATGATTCATTGTTCGGCGCAGTGTTGTTACGAGTGTTCGACATCGCGAAATAACTCTGCGGCGTGGTTTGCAGGATCCGCCAACCCCCGTGCTTGTATTCTTGTTCCAGAGTGTGGGGTCTCGGCGAGGCGAACGAGCGCATCGCCACGCCACGCTCTTGGAGTGAACGGACACAGTGGACACGGTCGGTACAACGCACACAACATACATACATTTATTAACTAATTTAGACGACGATATCGTCTGCCGAATGATACATCAATTTTAATTAACACGCTACCATACAAACAACATAACGCAGTGACACACTAAACACACAATAACATGATAAACACACACTAACACACCCAACACACTAACACATACCCAAGGCGGCGTCGCCAACGCCTGACTTTCCACGTGGGACCACGGCGCGAAGCCCGCGGTGCCGAGCACCGGGGACCCACGCTACAGACAACCGTTCGCGGCAGCCGCCACGTGCAGAAGACTCGCTCAACTGTCGCCCACCACCAAGGCCCGCCTTCCGCCAGGGGCCACCGCCGGCGCTACCACTCTGCCAACAGTGGTACTCAAAGCAAACACAACGCCATCTATCGCCCTGCGGTGGTCACCACCGAAACAAAGCCTTGGGGCGAGACACGTGCGCCACGCGGCGCAGACAACTTTACAGGGGGGGTGTCAGCACCCCCACAAGATTTAGCGCGGCTTCGAAGGCTGCCCTATCATCGGTTTGCAGTTGGTGCTGGCACTGGACCTTCCTGGCCTGTTTTTGTGCCAGGACTGCACCATCAATTTGGCGAATGCGAGCTCTCTTACGTTTCCACTGTCTGCGCTCTTCTAGAGTTGTCGCTGCGGCGGCTGCATTTCTGATGGAGGCTGAAATGTTGTAGGCCCATGTGCTCAGATTTGGGTGCACGTTAATGAACCCCTGGTGGTCGAAATTTCCGGAGCCCTCCACTACGGCGTCTCTCATAATCATATGGTGGTTTTGGGACGTTAAACCCCATATATCAATCAATCTTCTGGAGTTGTCCGTGGCATACCAGTGTGGCAGGTTTCAGGAGAAACCGATGCACGCGTGCTCAATGCCACAGCTGCAACAAGATGGACGACGTCACTCACAATGCAACCATTGCTTGGGTACCACTCTGAGAAAGACGTAACTGATAGGACAGTCGATGCAGACCGCTCCTGACACTGTTGCCGGTCAGTTTCTCCTAGCCATGTACTGCTTTCGCTGTAAGAACTGTTGGGGGGCGGCACCAGGATTCTTGTAATGAGGGCACCCACGACAAGTGAGCTCCTTCATGGGGCAGGGAGGTTGGGAACACATGCATTGTGTTTTGACTATGCTTTCTCTTGGGGACGCAGGTGGAAATGTTGGGGTGCTCCAGTCCTCCCCATACCCTCTGATGGTGCTGCCCCTGAAAACTGTGCCACCACGTTCAAGCTTTTTCATTGCTGCTTGGGGAGTAGAACAGCTGACAAACGTCAGATAGGTGATGGTTTATGATTAGTGTGAACTTGCAATATATGGTAATGCTCAGTGTCGGCATTTTTTGTCTGCAAGTAATTGCAGTGCTTCAGAAACTTGTACAAGACTTGAATTTCGTTGTTGGCCCTCTGTAACAAATGCAGCAGGACGCCTCACGTGTAGTACTAGCGAATATGGGGTAGGCCACTATAGGGGTACAAGATTCAATGAAAAGTGATGCACCTGAATGGGAACGTTGCATGTGTTTGCTTTACTGAAATGCTCATTCGGAAAGTTCCTCTGCATTTGTTGATAGAAAGAAAAGAGGCACCTTTCATGAGAAAAGCCTTTTGCAAACCTAGACTTGTTGCTTTGGACTGTTAAGGGTTCGATCCTGGCTGTGGTGGTCGCATTTCGGTGAAGGCGAAATGGTAGCGACCTGTTTGCTGTGCGATGTCTGTACAAGTTAAAAGCACCAGGTCGTCAAAATTCCCCGAGCCCTCTGCTACGTCATCTCCCATAATCGTATCGTGGCTTTGGGACGTAAAACTTCACATGTTATCATTTGGACTGTTAAGAAGCTGCTACGAGATTATCATATTTGTGGTGCATACCTTGTTTCTTTGATGAGCAAAAACCAAGAATGAAGACAGGAGTGTTAGAGGTGCATTCTTTTTAGTGAAGGATGAGGGACGAGTCGGTGTTGCCATCTTTGTTATAACCTGTCAGGGTTCAGGTATTGAGAAGTGTTACAGGGACACTAGAGTGAAGAGCAACTTTTTCCCTATTAGTAAACTACCATTTTGCAATAACGAAAACACCACTCTTGCCGTGAGAGGATGCTCACTTGGGAAACTCTCAAAATTAAAATACAGGTAGTGATGCTTCCGCACGAGCTTACCATTGTGCCATAGATTTCGATTACTTATGCTAGGGCCTATGTAATCGTTTTGTTTGTAAAAGTGATTTACATTGTGTTCTAAGGCACCAAAAGTATGAAAGTGGTAAGTGTTAAGAAATTTAATCAAATTAATGTAGCCAAAAGTATGCAAGAAGACTTCCAAATTCTTGATGTAATTTTTATACGCTGAAGGTTTGGTGTCAAATTCTAACATAATATTTTGAACCCCTTTTTCTGTCCCAATAACTAACCTATGATGGTGAAATATGAGAGTTCGAACAGAATAATTTCTGTCAATATTATCTCAAAGTTTTGCTTTAGTGGCCCTCTAATAATGCTTTGATTGTGTGGTGTGCGATGTGAGCGCACGTTAAACACCAGATGGTCAAATTTTTAGAGCCCTCCACTACAGTGTCTCTCATAATCATATAGTGGTTTTGGGGCATAAAACCCTATGTCAAATTACTAACACTGCTGCAATTTGATCTTTGAAGGTGTTGGCATCAGTCTTCTACCAGATGACATTAGCTCCTTGCTTCTTGATTAAAGGGACCCTGAAACGTTTTTAAAAGGTTTTTTTAGCATTTAGGCTTGAGCATTATCAAATAATTTGCAGCACAAATTTAGTGGCATGCCCCATCTTACCAGCCGATCTCATGCGCATGTGCATTCCAGCCTGGGAGAGTCGTGCTACCAAGGGATGTCGCTCTGTGAATGGGCGGTTGAAAGCATCTTGGGCTCAGCCGCAGTGATCTGCGGCGATTCACAACTTTAAAGCATTGTAATAAATTGCACAGTTTACGCAGAAAGCTTTAA